GATAGTGAAGGGGAGAACAGTGCCATGCTGTATTCAATAGTGTTGTTCTTTTTATAGACATATTCCTTCATGTTTTTTTTTAAGAAACAGTAATTCAAAGATTGAGTACTCTCAATTGTTCTATCAAGGGTTGGGTTAGCCCTTTTTCTGAGGAGGTTTGGGCACAAAAAAAAGCTAGAATGAATTCCTATTGATATATTAGTGGCATATATCTGGATACTTCAGACCTAAATGACTTTCGAAGCATAAAACATCATGGCTTGATTGCCATAACTGGTATGGAAGAGCACTCATAACATCTGTTGGCTCGAGTCAGCATGCTTTAAATGTAAATGTTTGTTTGTTGTGTACATGTGTAAATATAGGTCTTTGCCTACACATGTACTGTCTGAAATGCTAGATATACCTAAATTTGTTCCAGCATTGCTTTCTAAAATACCACAAATACTTTAGCAATGTGCACAATACAAAGCTTCTTACCTTAATGTAAAACTGACTACAGTTAACTGAATTTTCTGTAATCTGTTGCCATGCATTCAAGTTTAGTGATTAACAAAAATAAGGTAGCCTTCATAAAGAAAATGGGGTACAGACCTCAAGTGTGTTTCTGAAGTCACTGAACTTCATCAAAGTGAATATTCTAATTTTGATCTGTGTTGATAAGCTTCAGTTGTCATGGAGATTAGCAGTATAGACACGATCTGCCAGCTATGGCCAACCATCCTTATGAATTAACCATGGATTTAGATGTGGTGTTGTATCCTTTATCAGGGCAGTTTACTTATTGGGAAAGATAATAGTTTTGGAGATTCAGACAATTTTTCAGAAACCTGAAATTGCAAGCTAATGTGGGACCTTCCAAATAAGACAATTCTGGATGTTTTGCATTTCCCTCCCTCATTACTCGTAGCTAAGTTTGTTGTTTAGAATGCATAGGTAGGCTGAAAAATAAATTTAGAATTTTATTTGTCTCCAGATCAGTTTGCACCTTTGTTTCTTTGGTTAGCCTTTCTTGGTTACTTAGTTTAAAGATAAGTGTGGAGTGCAAGCAACTGGTCATGCAGCAGTTGTTGCTAGACTGCAGGCAATGGGGAATAATTCTGACATCTCTGATCTTGAATGTGCTTTCAATTTACATGAAAGCTTGATGCACACCAACTTTCATGGTTGTCCATTTACCCTTTGCACCATTTACATTTTTGACTCTACCATATGAGAACAAAAGAAGTTTATTTTCCCCTCAGTGTCTCTGCTTCTCCTTGACATTGATTTCTTGTGTCTCACTTCAGCAACTAGCATGCTTCACATCCAGTGGTTTTAGTTTTACATCTGAGGAATTATTAGGGTGTACTCCAAGCAAGTACATAGACTTTAGAGCCTGGGGTATGGAAAGGACAAGAAAGATGGTGCTGTCACTATGCAGCAGGATTTTTTGATTTGGAAGGGTGAACTTCTCACGAGGGTTTTGTAAATAACACTGTGCATGAAAGGAAATGTGTAGTGCAATCAGGTAACTGGTTAATTGCACAGGAACAAATTCTTCCTGCCTTGGAGAGTACAAGTATGTGCTCAAAGGCCCCTAGGTTACAGTGGCTTAGTATGGAATTAAGTTTTAGTAAAGGTGACTGAAATAACTGTATACTACCTCAGGATCAGCCCAATCTGAGGTTGTGAATATGGTTCGCATGATAGCCTTAGCAACTTGTTTGCTGTGCACCTGTATCATTGCCGAGAGATTTCCAAACTGTAATCCCTCTTATACATTTCCAATGAAAACACAGAACTGTTTCAACTGCTGAAATTTCTGCAAGTCCAGGCCTATTCAACAGAGGCAGCATTCTCTTTTTTCATTAAGGAGGGTTTATAGAGATGGGTTGAAACTTGGATGGTTGTCTGCAGGGGTGTCATATAATGCGTAAGGCAGCTGAGAGCAGTGTAGCTGAAGCTTCAGAGCTGCAGATGGTATAAACTCAGTATAGCCACACCAATGCTGAGCTTTGCCAGCTAACAGGACTAAGACGTGCAATGCTTGAAAATCCACTTCTTAAAGAAGATTGTGACAATAAATACTCTGTGGGGTTTGCTCCTTTGTTTCTTTTAAGGATAATGAGTTAATCACATTCTAAGGTATTTTATGTCTGGATTTGGACATACATATTCTTCATTTCAAACAGTAAATGTATACTCAAAACCACTTAAGAACCTCATTTGGTGTGGTGCGTTTTTCTCACTAAACATGCTTTTGTCTTCTACACTACAGTTACATTACTGCACCTCCATCAGAATTATTCCATAATGCATGACATTAGTTTATGCTCTAGAGTCACTGAGAATAATCTAGCATGTTAAAATAGGATCTCCAGAGTTAAATATAAAGGAAGGATAATGTCATTTAAACTTGAAGATACAGTTCATTTAAGAACTGTTTTGATGGAAGTATCCTGCTCTCTACTAACAGCTTTCTTCCCTAGAGTACAGCTAAATATTAGAGCTTTATCTCTTCATTATTTTGTCTGGGTGTAACAATAGCTTTCTCCATCTTTGTATGTCAACCCTATAGAAGTTAGCAATCTGAATGAACAGTGTAGACATGTTTTTTTGGCTCTCTTTGATCTTTCTGTTCCACCTTCAAGGCTCAGATCTGTGCAAAGGTCAGAATTATTGGACAAAAATTTCCAGTTCAAGTTAATATTTGCTAAATATTCATTTTTAGCCACAGATATAGTCTGCAAGCAGTAATTTGTCTTCAGCCTTGGGAGAAGTGATAGTGGTTTCCTCATAGACATATTGTTTCTGTGTCAAATTGTTGTTGTAGTTACCATACTAACTTTCAGTTACAATAGGTTAAATTTAGCTTTAATGGAATTAAAAGTACACTAATGTATAGTTTAAGGAGGACATTGAATGTTATCTGTAATGGGGGAGCTTTTTAAACTATAGAGACCCTCACGAGGTTTCCTATATACATCCTAGATTTTAGTGTGACATTCATTGACTTTACAAGTACATAGACAAAAAAATATGTAAATCTCGTGTTACTTCAAGTCACTGAAAAAAACCCCAAAACAATCCACTGGGCTTTGTAAGACACACCTAATCAAAACAGTGAAGAGAAGCAAAGCTGACCTTTCACATCTTAAAGCGATGCAAGAGCCCTAAAAGTTAGAGACCAAAAAGTCAGTTGAAAGAAAACTGCTGTCATCCACTGATGTAAACTGATTTTAATATATTTTGGACAAGGACAGTAAAGAAGACCTCAAACATCCTCCTTATTTTTTTTTTTACCAACTTGTTTTCAGGTTGTTTCTTAGTATCAGAAGATGATCCTGGAATACCTCACACCCCTTTGAGAAGTCAGGGAAAGCTCTTTTGATTTGGTGGTATTAGCAATGAAAAGTAGAGCTATAGGTAACAAGACTACGAATTCTGGACTTGTTTTCAATTAAAGAGATGAGAAACAGAGTTGTCTTTCTTTCATGAAAAGCACAACAGTGTTTGTACTTTTAGCAAGACAGTATGGAATCCACCTAGATCATAGAATCATAGAATCATTAAATAGGGTTGGAAAGGATCTTAAGATCAACTAGTTCCAACACGCCTGCCATGGGCAGGGACACCTCACACTAGACCGTGTCACCCAAGACTCTGTGCAACCCAACCTTCAACACTTTCAGGCGTGGAGCTTTCACAGCTTCTTTGAGGAACCTGTTCCAGTGCCTCACCACCTTTACAGTAAAGAACTTTCTCCTTGTATCCAATATAATCTTCCCCTGTCTAAGTTTTAACCTGTCACTCCTTATCCTATCACTACAGTCCCTAATGAAGAGTCCCTGTCCAGCATCCTTGTAGGCCCCCTTCAAATAATTGTGATCGTCTCGTTCCACAGTCAGTAGAGATCTACACACTCCAGAGAATAAAATTCTCAGTACAACTTCTTTCATTCTTCATGAATTCTTCATTCATGTTTAAAATAGGTAAAATAAATCCCACTTCATGGCCTGTTACCACTAACGGCAAGGCTAACAGGGTGACAAGGTAAAAGGCATACAGCTATATTAGTAACTTCAAAAATTAGATGAGATGGAACTAAATAACAACTTTACTGAGAAGCATTCCTGCTTATTCTGTGTCTGGATGAGAGGGCTGAATGAGTATGCTTGCACGCAGTGGATCAGGGCCTGCAGTCACTGCAGTGGTATAGAATTGTATAGTCTGTTTCCTGCTCACAGAAGTTAGGTTTTACAAACCATTTACATCTGATCTGTAAGTCCAGGGGTTTTGTAAATGCAGTTGGTAACTTGGAAACAAGTTTAGCTTCAGGAAAGCATTAGCTATTGATTAGCAAGGTGAAGAAGTCCCTCGACCTACAGCTATATAGATCCACTTTCTTTTTTTTTTTTTTTTATCTCTCCCATGCAATCTTTCTACTTTTACGTTGATTAACCTTTTACTGTATTTTAAGTATTTTATTAATTTGGTTTTACATTTCTTCTCCTATTACTACATGGTTGCCTATCCTATTTGTAGTGAGTTTACATAGAATTACTTGAGCAGGGTGCACAAAGATTCTCAATGAGGCACAGTTTTAATTTGCGTGAATCAAATCCTACCTTACTGTGTTTCCCAAAGGACTCCCCTTCAGCATATTCAGAGACAACCCACAAACTGCCATTCCCTGTGTTCTATTAGTGAAGTCAAAACCCTGATAATTTTCATTATGGATCTACATGGCCGCAGTAATAGAGCATAACTTCATTCCCCTTAATCAGAATGTTAATTTTATTTCTCTTAAGCACCTCTGAGAAACCTACGAAGTCTTTACAACTTCATTTTTGCAGTAATTTGCAATTATTTTTGCCTCAAATTTGTGTACTCTCTCATTTGCATTAAATTGCCAGATGCTAAGGTGTTTAGTCTGACAAGGTGGTCGTCAGCCACTATAATACATCACTCATTTAATCCTTGGAATGTTTAACTTTTTCTTTCCCCTTCCACCCTAGCACCCTCCCTCTTCCTCCCAGATGCAGCTGCAGTCCATGCACAGGACACATGCGGTGAGACTCAGCTTGTTTGCCTTTAGCTGTCTAAAGTCTCGTATTTAATCTAAACAGTCTAGTTGTCGTCTATGGTCAATCTGAGAGACCAGGGCACTTCCATAAGACAACACATCCCATGTGTCTTAGATACTTTTGTTACACAGGTCAGCCCAGCCTCTGGAAGCACCTGTTTTTTTCCATGGTTCAGTGAGTTGAAAGTGATAGTTCAGTTTAAATTAATCTTAGATGCATATAGTTAGATGTGACCAATTCCATTTTGTGTGTGCCTACAGAGATCTGAGGATCCTGCCCTAATTCGTGTAGTGTTTTGGTATCCATCATCTCATTTTTATTAATTTTCTTTTATTTGGCTAACTTTTCTACCTTCCCATTACTTTCTGGTTTCTCTGTCTCTTCTGTCTTTCTCTCTTAACTTCCATCAATGTTTCTACTTTGATAATAATTAATTAATTATGTAAATAATTAAATAGATATTAAAAAAAAGGTTGGGGGAGAGGAACATCAGTTCTGTGCTCTAAAGATTTTGGGTCACTTTACAATGTCTAATATCAGAGAGATATTATTCTACCTAATTTAGATAGGATGCAAAATAAATGAAAACAGCATTAAAATATTACTGTTTTCCTAAGAAGTGCTAGCAAAGTTTTCTATCACAAGCCCATATGTAACTGTCCCCTCACTGGTTGGGGAGCAGCAATTAATTCACAGATACAGTTTTCAAAATGAAGTCTGGACTTTTTGATAATTCTAGCAAATATCAAGTGCTGTCATGTTAGGTCTACTCACTAGAAAAACCTATAAGCAATCCCTACCAAATAAAACAGGGCATAAGCAGTAAAGGAAACATGGGTGGAGATTTTTTTTCTAGATTACCACGGCAACACTTAGCATGTCACTGAAGAACAGATCCTCACCACCCCGCAACTAAGAGTTTTCAGTGTGAATATTGATTTTTATATATTTCATTTTCAGGTTATGTACCTTAAAATGCCTGTACAAGCGCTGCTTTTCAACACATGCTGAGCAGCCCTCTTGTGGTAAAAATTGGCATGATAAAATGTATTTCAGGTCAGGCCATCAAAAATGAGTGAGACACTAAAAATCCATAGTTGTTTCTGAAAGTCTCAGTCATAGTAAAAAGGAAGTATCTCTGAAACTTCCCTTCTTGTTTTTGGTCAGTCTTAGCTGACAACCAATGCACAACTCAGCTCTGTGAAAAAAAGGCAGTGCAAAATTTACCTCACAGAAGGAAGTCATTTTCATATATACTTCCTCTACATCATCCAAGAAATGAGATTGATTTTGAAAGTTGAAACATAATCATTACGTCTATTTGCTGGATGTGTATGTACCTGCCACAATACTGTGCTCATTCCAGCTCTCACACTGTAATCTTTAATAACAATGCTGTTGTCAGGTTTTGGTTACCCAAAAGGAAAAAAACCAAACAAACCCAAAACTCTAGTAAATGGGATTGGCTTAAAGGATTTAGCAGTAGTGAGAAATTAAATTTATTTTCAATTTATCCTATGTTGTTCAGTTTGCAAGCTGCATATCCCATCTATAGTTAGTTGAAAACAAATATTAAACCATGCACATTATCAGAGCAACAGAAACAGAGTCTGATTTATTTGAATAAACTTAGATGTTTGCCTTGTGGGCAATTGCTTCAAAAAAATCACCATATTGTCCTTTATAGTCAATGGAGATTTAGTCAGGGTAGTCATTGGTGTTTGCTGTATTGTTCACCCCATCCTAAAGTGAACATTTAAAATAGAACAGATATACCCTGACAAATAAGTGTGCATTTCTCTCAACTGCTTATTCTCTCTGATGATTCTCAAGGAATCAAGGATGTCCACTTTACATAGACATCTATACTGTAAATATCTAACCTTCCCTGAAGTGAATCTCATCAAGACAACCATATGTAGAAAACAAAACAAAAATCTCCTGTTGACAAGAAATTACTATTTTCAGTTCTCATGTTTTTCAGCCCATCATAACAGATACAAAATCTCTTACACGTTCCCTCAAAATGCCTTGTTGTGTTGTTTCAGATTACCCTTCTTGACAGCTGATTTAAAATAGCCTCTCTCTGACTAGTTGTAAATTTAAACATCTCTTTCTCCATTGCAGCTCTTCCAAGAATGCAACATGTAGAGATCATGGTCCTGGTCCATAATATATGTGCCTACTTCTTTTATGACCATACCTGTCCTAGTGTGTGTGACAAAAAATAAGCAGTGCCTCTGAATTGAGAGAGTCAGACAAGTGGTTTCCATGCTGAATGCCTCAACCCATGCATCAAGAAAGCTGGGCAAAAGAAGTGCTTTGGTGTCCTTACTAACACTCTTCACTAATAGAAAGGGATCCACACTGCATTGTGTACTTACACATGAAAATAAGGAACATCTGATCCAACTTCATCTTAGATAAATCCCATCCTACAAGTTTATGTTACTATCTGATTGTTCTCCAAAAGTGTACAGTCAACTTTCATTTAATATATTGTTCTGTTACCCTTTGTATACTACCAGACTGCAAAAGTTGCGTGTATTTCGGATGCGTAAAGCTGCCGGCCTGCCTCCAAGTTGTTCAATCTTTCGTTTGTCTGTGAATCAACACATTGCAATTGCCAGAGACAGCCAGTGCATCTTAATCTTTTTTTTGTTTATTTTTGCTTCAGTCAAGCAGCTGGTTTGTGCTGTAATTTCATTCTATCATGTCCGCTTTCCATCTTTGTGACGTGTCTCATAAAATGTGTTAAAAGTGACCTACCTTGGCCTGTTCACAATATGCTGAAAAAAATGCTAATCTTGTCATATTTAGCAGCTGCGTTCAGAAATGCTACTGTAAGCCTAAGAGGGCTAACCAGCACTCTTGCAAGATGTCAGAACTATCAACCATTACCCTGTAAGTGTACGCAATCCTGTGACATTACTGTGTTTGTATTACGCATGCTGCAAGTAAATGAATGGATATTAGCAGAGGGGTAACAAACAGAAAGCAGGCATTCATTTAGTTCTTGTTGCATGTAGAATATTCTCTTGTTCTGTGCTTTTGCTAATGCATCACAATCAAGGATTTAAGGTGGTTTTGTTTGTTTTAGTTTGAGTTTTTTTAATTTTTTTAATTATTGCTGTTGCTGCTTATGGTTTTGGATAGTATCTGTATAGAAGCTATTAATAGTTGCTGTTTATGACACAACAAAGAAGTGAGCCCTGGTCATATCGAGAATAAATGTTTCACCTGAAAATTTGGTAAAACAGGGGCAGTGCAAGAATTGAGTGAATCAGACTGCCATCTGGAGTAAAAATCAAACTTAGTGAAGTTATGTTAGTATAGACCCAGGGGTGAGGAAAGGCTGAGGTTAAACTAGTAGCAAAATTTTATGTGTGTAGCCAAAACTCATTGTCAAAGATTTGCTTATGGAGAGCAAGGTGTCTAGAAAAAAAAAAAATAAAAGCCATTTATAGTCACAGAATAGTTAGGGTTGGAAAGGACCTTAAGGTCAAGTTCCAACTCCCCTGCCATGGGCAATGACACCTCACACTAAACCATATCACCCAAGGCCTCGTCCAACCTGGTCTTGAACACTGCCAGGGATGGAGCACTCACAACCTCCCTGGTCAACCTATTCTAGTGCCTCACCACCCTAACAGGAAAGAATTTCCTCCTTATATCTAATCTAAACTTCCCCTGTTTAAGTCTAGACATTTGTGAATTAATAACTTTCTCATAGTGCACCTCAGTCTCTGTTACTTGTAAAAGAAGCCCACAGGATTCATTTAGATGAGGAGTACCTTTCAGAAATCTAATATACAATATGTTTCCTGATTAACTTTCCCCTGAATTTCACAGCAGCCTCATGAGTGTAAATCAACACTCTAAAAGATGTCCTGCCAAACAGATCCAACAGTCCAGCATTTTGCTGAACAATACGTAATAATTATCTTTGACATCATTAAGGAAGAAAGGTTATTTTGTAATTCGTAGCTGCATGCTTTATGTATTTTGCCTAGTAAAAAGAAAACAAACAAAAAAACAAACAGTAAACCAACACATTTTAAACATGAAAATAAATTTTCTATGTGATTGTGATTTTACATCTCCCCAAGGTATTTAAGTAATAGTCCAATGAAGATACTCAAAACATTCAGTCAATAGACTGACACTGTGCAAAAGCAGGTGAAAGAAACAGAGAATAGAACAGTGAGCAGATCCATGTCCTGTACTGAGAAAAGCTGAAGTCTAAGAAAGTTAGGTAAAATTAGGACCCCCAGAAGAGATAGTTTGAAATATGAGGTTCATTGCTTAATCTACAACCTGGTGCAGCATGGACTTCATGTTGGTGTTTTGTAGAGAAACAAATTTCACATTAAGTGCAGAGTTTCAGAAAGATGTCAGACTGGCAAATCTAAGGTGAAATCTTTTACCTAGTCAATGGCAAGAAGAGTTCAGTCTAAACAGGAGCCCAGAAAAATATCTGTACACTTCCAGTCAATATACTTAAACCTTCCAGCAACCTTCCACTGCTTTTGAAGTCCTTAGTCTGAAAATGTGATTTATGCATGGGAAAATTAAAAAGCGGTAATCACTTGCTGTGTTTAGGTATTACTTCAGGTCTTTGAAAACAATCTTACAGACCTAATTAAGCTTTTGGAAAATACATGTATCTGTCAGGAAGATTACTGAGGCTCCTGAAAGTCACATGTTAATTATGCTTAGCATCTTTGTGATAAAACACATACTTTGGTTTATTAAACATGAGCTATATTAAGTATTTCTATATTAATGACATCCTGTATCTTCATGGTTTGCTCTTTTATCTTTCTATTTTAAATATTGTCATGATTATTTTTTGCACATATTTATCACTGAGTTACAGCCAGAGATGGAATTCCTCTAATCTAAACTTTACAAGCCTACAGTGCATCAATTTGTATGCCAAACTCAGTCCAAATTCCCTCTGTAGTCAATGGAGAGACTTAGGATGTGATAAGGCTTTCCTTAGGGATAGATGATTCATCTTTATGCCTAAGTGCCTACTACTCTTCATAGACAACAAAGGGAATGTAGGTGTGGAAGTAATTTAACTCAAAATAGACATCATTGCAAATAACTCATAACTTTAAGCTAGTCAATATATGCATCAATAGATGCATTCAGTACATAACCGTAGGCTTTACAACAGGACTCACTTCTTAAAGAGGCATCTAGAGCAGTCAAGAACTATGTCTTAAAAGTGCATTTTTTTCTTCATCAGCTTTAGAGACATTATCTTAATAATTTCAGTATGTCTGAACCTTGGTGAGGTGAATGTTGTTCTACACGAGCATAAACCTTGATGTCTCCACTGCAAAAGGTTATATTTGACCAAATTAATTTCACTTAAGACTCAGCATTTAAACTGAACAATTCTCTTACTTTAAAGATGCTGACCTAAGTAGCAAAAGAGCAACTACACAGTCTTTCTTCAAAGGCTGTGGTTTGAAGATCATTTGATTCTCTTAACAGTTTGTGGTATTTTGTCTCAAAAAAGCTGGGTGGTAAGAACCTATAAGATGAAAGCAACAAACTCTGTCAGAGTAAAAATTATACTGTATTTTATCCTTAGCTTCATAGCACGTCTGCTAAATCTCATGTAAGTTACAATGGTTTTCTTTGAGCTACATGACTTTGCAATTAGTCCAGCAGAAGCAGGTAACACATCTTCAGTGCAGTGGAGATTCCTGGATCTGATGGGAGAGTAAGCTGTAACCAACATTTTCCTCTCTTTCTCAGAGACAGAAAAAAGAATGACAACCACAAATTTCCTTATACAATTGATTCTGGAGCCTCAGGTCCCCTGATGTTGAGGACCCATGTTTTCTGATGGTCTCCTTCATTCTTTCCAAATGGCATCATCATGTATCCAGCTCAGTGGTTCTTACAGTTGTATCTACAGGCTCTCAATCTAGAGATGCGTCTTTGTTACATCACATTCAGAGTAGCTGGAAGAGCCTATTTAGACCATTTAGAACTCATTGGTCCTTGTTCCCTATTGCACAGTTGCTCAAAATACTTTTTTTTTTTTTCATCTGATGCACAGTTCCTGTGTTTGTTTAGATCATGGCATTAATTTGTCTTCTAGAAACATGTTTTAAAATGTGGAATAGGGACACACTGGAATATTAAGTTGAAATCACTGGAAATCCTACTCAGCAATGCAATGTGACGTGTATCTTCATTTCCACTTCATGCCCAGTAATGTCCTACGTGATATCTGTAGACACTTTAGCAATCTCCTTAATAAGCATGGATGTGCAGTGAAAGAATAAGGTATGGTTCTTTCAGATGCTGATCAAAGTTAGACAACCTTTCTTCTTTCTATTCCTTTTACAATAAGGATGGGGTTTTACATAATTCAATAGAGGAGTGAGGAAAAACAGAGGACACAAGTATTTGTGTTTCTTGTATTAATACTTTATGGAAAGGCCACATTCATAGTTATGCTATTGGAGAAAACTTTACGCTTAGACTGTTTCTAAGGAAAATGGCAGCTGAAAAATAGAATGTCAGTTTGAAAAAAAAAAAAAACAACAAGCAAAAACACAACAATGTTCATTTTTTTAAAGTTACCTAAGACATTCCTCCACCTGTTGGAATGTAAACAAGGCTTTGGCTAGAAGTTTTGGAGAACATATCTCTTCTAAACAACCAGTTTAAGCCTGATTGATTACTGTCCTTAAAACTTTTGGATCCATGAACCAAGTTTCTTGCTGGTCTGAAAGAGTATATGAAGAAAAGAAGATGGAAATCTTTGGCTGCTATGTGCCTGAGAATTTTGCTGTATACCTTATAGCTTCTTAATTTCACTATTGGACACAAGCATACTTATCTCACAGGTGCTGCTTTAAGACTTTTTAATTCTTCCTAATGCTCTTGAAAAAACATAGTAGATTATCATCCACACAGTCATTAGTATCTCTCATGTTTTTCTTATCATTAAAATATTCTTTTCCTCTTCTTAGCTCTTAATCTATAAACTTCAGAATGTGTTATTTCTTAGATTTAATTTATTTCCTTCCTGACTTTTATGGCAATATTGAAGACAGCATCTTAAATAAGCTGATGATAGCATTATATTTCAAGATCCTACAAATTAACTGTATGATTAATCAGATATAATTAATTCCAGAAAACTGACAATAGAAAAAATCTTGCTCTGCATCTTTCCCAAAATTAATCTCCTGTGACTATGGTGAGATACAACATACTAATAGACAATTCTGTTGTGATTTTTAAATCAAAGTAACATTTATCCTTTTGTTGCCATTAATTCTGAGGGTTATAAAGGTATAAAGGGTAAGAGACTTTGAGAGATACTTCATTTTCCAGGTTACTACCTTAATTTTATTTTTTATTCCTTGGCTAGTTTATGATGCTTATGTTCTTTGCATCCTTTTTTGTTTACAGGTACAGTATTATTCCATAATCTTTTCCACAATATTTCTGTCCCTTTTCATTAATCTGATTACATATCCATAGAGAAAAAGGACTAGAATAGACCTTGAAGGTTTTTTAGGCCATTACGTTGAATCATTTCTATATATCTTACTTTTTCCACAGATCGCCAGAGTTGGAGACTGTGTATGCTCTTCCTCAATGAGTTCCAGGGCTGTTCTGTCTTATTAAAAAACTTCTGGTCAATGCCCAATTTGATAATTAGCAAGAATTGTGTTCTCTGGGTTATGAGGTCTTCCAGCACACTTGAGATTTGGTGTGCATTTGGTGTTCATCATGTGTGTTTAGTACAATCCCAGGACAAGGGGTGGGATATATTTATCACCATTAGTATGCAAAATGTGACTGTGGGACACCAGCAATGGACTGATGTCTCGTTTGCAGTTTAGTATTGAATATAACAACATATATTCACTGAGTTCTTGGAGATGTATTAATTACGTCCTCACTTTCAGTAAGACAAACCCATCATTTTGGGGATTTTGTTGAACATGTGTTATCAAATTCAGTGTGTCTGCAATATACCATGTAGATACAAGCAGAGTTAACATTTGAATTTTTAAAAGTATTCTCTTCCAAAAATCTTTATGGCTTTTTACCTTCCTTTACACTCCATCTAGCTCCTTAACTTACTTGAAGGAAATCAGTCTTACTTTTTCCCCTTTGAAAATGTCCTGGAGGTTACTTTACTTTGTTTATAATAAAACACTTGCCTTATTTTCAGATCAACATTTTCATTCTCTTGGGTCTTTTTTGCTGAGCAATCAGCAAATGACACTGACCAAGACGTACATAAGTCTTGGCTGGATCCCTGCTTTTGGGGAATTACATCCATACTCAGTTAAGTGCTTACAGGGACACACATTCATTTCCAGCTCTTTTGTTTATGCTTTGTTTAATTTCCTTCTAAAATGTATTTATTCTGATGCCATTGAAAATAGTTACACAGTGGAATTACACTTCAGTTTCCAGAAATATACATGAGATCAAAATCGAGGCCTTGGAGAACAGTCATGAGTATAAGAACATACAGGGCGTTTTATCTTTATTTGTATTGCTGGTTTGGATTTTTTTTCTATGTAGAGATAAATTCACACATACACACAAAAAAAGTGATTTCAAACACTCCACTGGGATTAAGCAATTGGGTGAGAGGTTTATTATGGTGTTGTGGTAGCAGTCTGAATCCCTTAGCAAGATTAATCTCCTCATGTTTGGCATGTTAGAAAATATTACTGATTGTAATAATGCAAATTAAAATAGCAGTACAAAGTATTAAGCATTACTAGTGTGCTATTATTGTAGCAGTGTGAAGAAGTGGGAGCAAACTACAGTGTGTGTGAAATCACTGTTTGGGAACAAATGGGAATATTGTATATTTGTTTGTATAATTATCCAGTGTATGTATATCCCAACAGACAAGCAACAAAATATTTTCTGTTCTCTTCTTTAATTAAAGCACAAGTTGTTTATTACAAGGCTGCATTAAAATTCTTTCACTCTATTATAACAGGAGACTGGCTCGCTCTACACTACTGCTTATCCCCTTGTTTGGAATTCACTACACGGTGTTTGCTTTTTCTCCTGAAAATGTCAGTAAGCGGGAGAGACTAGTGTTTGAATTGGGACTGGGATCTTTCCAGGTGATTATACAGTGAATTCTGCTTCTATTAAAAAGAAATTTCTTTTCATTATAACTATTTTGCATGCACAGCTCTCAGACTGTGTGTATATGTTTTGTATACTAGGATTTTGGTTTTGTTTGTTCTAAATCCATCTATTTTCTAGCATTTACTGAAAGTTTTCAATTACATTTTTTTTTTCTCTCCCATTTACCTAGGGTTTTGTTGTTGCTGTTCTCTATTGTTTCTTGAATGGGGAGGTAAGACTTTTAATATTTAACCTCCCCCACTCACCAACCCCATTCCATTTCCTTGTGGGAATAACCACTCTTCTAAACCTTCACTGTAATTCATTGTATGCCATATTCCCTAATACCTTAGGCTGAATCTCACAGGATCTCAGAAAAAGAAAAAGATGTGCAGTGTCTTTATTAAACCAAAGTATTGGCCTTGCCAGAGATGATGTCTCAGATTAATGTTTGCTAACAGAGACAGGGACTGTACTGGTTTCTTTAGCTATGTCATCCCAGGTGCAGGACTTTGCATTTTGTTAAAAAGTTCATGCAGTTCTTGCTGTAAATTGTCTTTCCTTGTGAAACGTCCACCTCACCACCCAGATTGGTGTTATCAGCCCATCTCTGGTGAGGGTGCTTTCAACCCCATCGTTCAGATAATTTATAAAGATGTTGAAGAGCATGGAGTTCAGCATCGATCTCCGAGGACCCCACTGGTTAAAGTCTCCCAGCCTGAGTAAAAGTTGTCACCCTCTGATTGTGGCCTGTTAGCCAATTTCCTGCCCATTTTGCAGGCCGCCTACCTAATCTATGTCTTGCCAGCTTGCCTAGGAGGAGACCGTGGGAAACATTGTCAAAGGCTGTATTGAAGTCCAAGTAAACATTATCAACTGCTCTTTCCATGTCATCAGAAAACATTTTCTTGTAGAAGATGATCATGTTAGTCTGGTATGCCTTTGAGAAATCATTGCTGGCCTTTCCCAATCACCTGCTTAACTTGGTTTAAGATAGTTTCTGGGAGGTCTTGTTCCATTATTTTCCCAGAGCCTGAAGGGGAGAAGGAGAGAGAGAAAGAGGGAGAGGGGGAGAGAGAAGAAGAGGGAGAGTGAGAAGGAGGGGTAGAGATGCCATGTCCTGTTACTGATGATGCACCAAGCAGGTGCCATGCCCTGTTGCTGATGTTTCACCCAACAGATAGCCATGCCCTGTTTGCATTTCTGGTTGCTAGCCATCCCCAGGAGACAGTTAGATGTGGCTTCGCACAGTTTAAGCTGGCCGTGGAGACAGCCGTCACCACAGAACCATTGCCCACTCTTCTCGTGAGACCTGACTTTTACCAGCTGGCCCCTCCAGACATACAGCCCAAGAGTGTCAGGTGCCCAGAAATGCCCTCAGACATTGCCTGGGTACCTTGCAAGCCTCACACTCCTCTCAGCACATGACAGCTGCTGCTGCTAGCATCAGTGTTCCACTTCACCCACTCTGATCTGCAAATTGACATCCCCCTGACTTTGTTTATCAGACTGAATACCTGAGGTAACTGTTTTCTGAATAAATGGAAAAACAGTCCCTCCTCAAGGCTTCCCTAAGATGAATATCTACAGTTCATCCATTCTCTGTTCCACTAATACACATCTACTATGCAGTCCAACAGAAGAAGGCTTGTCTTAAAATCACCTTTAGTTTTTAAAGAGCCTGAAACTATTTCTTTCTACCAGTTGTGGTGCAGTAGGTTTTTTATGCTTGGTCACATATAGCATGCCATAGCTGCTCTCTTGTACAAAAGGTCTCTAACTCCTTGATCCAAGTGATTCCTTTGCAGATAGCCATAACAATCTCCAAGTTTATCAAACAAATTTATAGGTCACCTTTGCTCATGGGCTTATCCTGTTAAAGGACCCACAGGTCTGTTAAAACATTATTCATAGCTCGGTCCCAGGAAGCTCAGAAGGTGAGTTCAGGATCATGACTTTCTGGAATTAATGGCATTAGTGTCATTCATACTTCACCAGCTGACATTACTGGATAGACAACTCTGTCACCTACAGCTGTTGTTTCATCTATTACCTTCCATGAGTGCTAAAAAACTAAAGTCTTGTCTAAAACTAATCTGCACATAAGCACTTTCCAAGGTAACATGTGGAGTGTGTCAGATTTCCTGTAACCACTTGGAGGGAGTGTGGTGATGGGTTTTAGCCAGACTAATATAACCAAATTAATTGAAACCTTTTTATCTCTCAAGACATTAGAGAATGTCTTGTGATCCTGCAAAATTATTTAGGTAAGAAAGGGTTCACCTTTAGTATATTAACATTGCTTGATATTAATCTCTAGATATTAATCTCTGTCTGTATTTTACTGAAAATAGGAATTGAGAGGTAGTAGAAGGAGAATGTAAGTTTTCCAGTTGGATTTTTCCTCCCTGTAGTTTGTGTATATACAATTGAACCACTTGTTTAGCATTTTGGCATATGCTGATTCATTTTGATACTTATATTAGTCTAGAAAAATCTAGCGATGATTGTTAAAGACAAGAACTCAGCAGCTGATTGGAGACTGAAAAAATGTATTAAGAAAAATATCTCTATGCATTTACTTGCTCTTAAACAATTTCATTGAGGAGTATGCTACTGGGTACTGTCAGGAGTGAGTAATAGACTGAGCAAATGTTGGTCTAGTATGATATTTCTTATATTAAATACTTACTATCTTATTTATAGATGTATTTATGTACATACATGTACTTTTAGCAGGATTGCCAGGAAACCGGTGATGAACGAAAAGTAGAAAAGCTGTATAATTATTTGCTTATTTTCTAATTGAAATTCTGACATGAATTGTTTTACTCTTGGTGACTTACTGTGGATGCCTATGAAAAAAATCTCAAGGAAAAGGAGGCTGTCACAGATGTATATTAGTCCAAGAGCTATTGACTGCTTAGAAGCGATATGAAAGCAGGGCACAAAGTTTTCAATAGACATTCATCCATTAATTGCAGGTGAGAGACAAGCTGCCTGTATGGAAAGGTTATTTCATTTCTTGTCTAGTACCTTTTGGTTGCTGGTTTCTTTGGCTCCTTGTTATGTATTTGGTACTGCCTGTTGATGAAAACAGGATATTCTTCCAAGAAGCTAGCTCAAGAGCTGTGTTGGAATTGGTGTTGAACAGGTCTTCCATGCACCTGTGAGCTGATACTAAATTATTTGAAGTCAGAGACACAGAATCCAGGCTGTTGTTCCCTCTGCATGCATGGACCTCTTCCATAAATGGGGAAATCACTTCAGATTTTCCTGGTGAGGAGTTTAGTAATAGTCTTAAAGATAGTTCCATCAAATTGGTGGTTTTTTCTAATCTTGATAGTTTGTCAGCATGTCCCTCGAGCGGCTAAGTACATAAAAAATGACCTTTTGAAGTTTCTCCCTAAAGGTGCAATCAGAAATAAAGAGAAAATGGAGGAGCTGGAAAGTCAACCGGTATTTTGCTGTGGATTTCAAACATCGTCATCCTTCTCTAGCGAGCAGCGGAGTGAACGGGGGGACACAACTCTCCATTCTGAGCAAGAGCAGCTCTCAGATTCGGATGTCCAGCATAAATGCGGAGAACCTAGCGACATGAGCAGCTAAAGAAAACACATCAATCAACAAGCAAACCAAAAACCATCCCTTAAAAAAAAAAAAAAAATCATAGTTTTGGTGGTGGTGTAGGCCTTTTTCCTTTCCTTTCCCTTTTCCCTATTCCCTTTTCCCTTTTCCTTTTTCCCTTTTCCCTTTCCCTTCTTTTACTTTCCTTTGTGATAAAAGCAAAGGAAATGTGTGTATATATATCTTTTTAATAATCACTGTAAATACCCAAGTGTACTCAAGGCCATTAACACAAAAATGTTTAAAAGATAGCCAAGCCTACCCACTCCATGATTTACATTTCAGAGCATCTGCAAGTAATCCGTTGTCTGTCAAAAGTAACAGTGATTGCGTGCAGTTGTGATCCTTGGTTGCCAAACTGATACTAATCTGTGAATGGACATGACCACTGTTATTTTTCATATTGCTTTCCGTTTTGGTTTGGATTGACTTTTTTTTTTTTTTTGGCCTAGTCAAACATATCTTAGCGTGTCCCTATCTTTTGGCACGTGAATTTCTGCAGTGTTTCTCTTTTGAGTCTTAGGATGGAGCTAATATGCTTGGGTTAATCTAACCAGCTGATTCAGGAAGAACTCCAGAAAATTAAGCTCATGGCTGGATTTAGTCAAATGTTTCCAGTGGACTTAAAAGAAAGTTGTGTGCCAATGTGGAGCTGCATAGCTACCATCAATCAGTGTGGGGACTTCAGGCAAGAGAGATGGGATCAGCTTCTTCCTTACCCAGGGACACTTGTAAGAAAATGCTTTTTGCTCTAGCTAAGCTGTGAATTTTCTAAAAGGGCCATGTAGTTGAGATATATCTATATTTTTGGCATTGACTGATTGATGATAGATTGATTATTTGGATTCTTTAAATAATAAAAATAACTGGCCCCTCCCTCCCACCTTAGGAGCAAAAATCAGTTCCAGGGTGGCCTTTCCCTCCAGATAACCTTGAACCTTCTGCATCTGTGTCCAAATGTGGTATGGTTTCGGGTAGTGCTGTCAGAGTGTGATGCCTTTGCAACCTGGTTGACTTCTGTGTGTTGACTTTTCCTTGCCATTACAAGAGGCACAAGAAGGATCTGGCATGATCATCCTGGAATTTGGTGAGCAACTAAATTGAACAATACAATGGCATAGAAGGAAAAGTTAAAAGACTTTGTATGACTTCCCACACCTGGCAGTTTTCTCTCTTTCGGGATATCCTGTTTGTTTAACCACCAGTGGTCTTACTGCTTTTCTTTGAGAGGAATTAAAATGTTCTCTCAAACTTTGCCTTGTAGCTAAAGCCACGACTGGTACTTATCTACTTCAGTTAAATGTCAATGATGTCAATTCTTGAAAGTCTTTATACAGTGCATAAAGGCTTTGAGGACTGTCCTAGCACTGACTTCATTTTGGATTTATGAACTGATATTATATATAAAAATATATATATGTGCGTGTATGTGTATGCATATATATATATAAAAAGTCAAAAATGAAAATGACACTTTAAATGTGAAGTTTTGAACTGAAACTAATAGTAACCAGGAAATTTAAAATTCAGGCTTGTTCTTTGGTGTTAGTTGATGGGATTATGACCTAAACAAATAAATGAAAGACTCAGAATTTTAGTCAGCTCACTGTAAGCTTTTAATTTTACTGACTTTTGTTTAGGTAAAAAAAATGTTAATGTCATTTTAATCATAGGTTTTAAAAAAAAAAATACTAATTCCTTGGTTTTAAAAGGAGAAAAAAAAGGTCTCAGTTGTGAAATAAATATTAATAAGAATAATAATTAACACATATAGTGTTTTATGGGCATAAACTGCTCTCAATTGTAGCAGTGTAAATGAATGTAAAAATAATTTGAAACAGGCAGAAATATTGACTGATGTCATATTGGTACAGGATTATGCTCTTATGAGATACACCCATGTCAGGTGAAATCTACCCTTGCTGGGAGGACCAGCAAAACAATTTAAATAATTTACATTTCACTCCAGTATCTTCAGTGAGAGTTCTATGATCCAGATATATATCTTTATTTTTTCAAGTCTTTGCACTGATTTGCTGCTCCAAGAGCAGAATTTGTCCCCTTCTGCCAGACTCCCTGCAAAAGTCACTAAAGTATTTTTAACTGATAGATTGGAGCTTCCTGTCTCATTAGCTGCTGCTAAAAGCTGTTTTAGAAAGTTTCCCAAGGAATCATGCACTTTGCAGTCTGAAAAGACATGGAAGATGGGGAAAGAGTTCTATCAGGTAAATGCATAGGTAGACAATTTTTAAATGACTGTTTAATGTTAGATGAACTGATGACATTAGGTTTGTATTTTTTGTAGTATGGGTTTTCACAAAGTATTATATTAACAATAATTTAAGTGTATTATTTAAGAGAATAAAAAATAGATTTTGCATAAATGGCTAGTAGCCAATTTTCAGGCATTAATAATTGAGAACTTTTGAGAAAAAGGTGTTGAATTCCTGTCTCTAGCTGGAGACTTTTTCCATGTTTCAGTCCAGAGCAAGAAGGCGTTTGGATTTTTAATTTTGTTTCTGTTGTTGTTGAGTTTTTTTCTGAACTTATTTCTTTATTCTGTTGTTTTCCTGGCTGTCCTGCAGTGCTCTGCAACATGAGTTGGTGGATCTCAGTCCTGTGCCTTGTGGGCAAATGTTCACAATACCAAAACCACCCTCCAGTCACGCACACCAGAGACCAGGTGCTCAGCTAAATTAAAATCACGGGGAAACTGTTGTTACTGTTAGAACAAAGCCACTTCACTTTGGCTTGGGATTTGACCTCAACACATTATTATAATTTTTGGCAGCCTGAGCAGGAGAGTCCAAAGGCTGAATATTCATGAAAACCTGGACTTGCTCCTTAGATTTGTAGAGCCAGTGCTCAGGAGCAAGAAAAGTTGGAGGGCAGTGGAGGGAAAATTTCTGCTGTTGCAGACCCTGTGTTTTGTGTTCAGTGGACAAATTCAATTCTTTGTTACCTTTCACCAGCACTGTATTTACTGGAAGAAATGGTATCTCTCTGCATATTTAATATACCGTTTCTTACAAAAGAAACCCTTCTCTCATGATTTTTTTGGTGATGATTTGAAGTGCTGATGCAGTTGAAAATGTGGCTTTTGTTAGTCACTCAAACTTTCTCAGTATTAATGAGAAAGGTCATACTTCAGGTGTATATAGTTATCTAAATAAGGTTCTGATGCCATCAGACAAATTAGTTCTTAAGAAATCTCTCTGTTGAATGTAACCTGAAGATTCTGAGCATGCGTGGCCACCATTCACAGTGGCTGTCATTTCTATTTGTTTCAGTCTGGAACAAACCAACAGGTGGTTTGCTTCTAAGTGTGTGTAAATATAAATTGAGTGTAGCAGTGCTTTGATTTTTTTCACTGTGAAACATATTTTGAAGCTCTAAAGGCTATGTTATTAAAAACAGTACATAATTAAAAGAAACACAGATGTGCAGTGCTCCTTGAGCCGTCTTTTCTACCATGTCCATAATGTCTTTCTTGTATAATTTTCTTACTTTGCTTTTCTAAATGTACAAAAACTTTCTGTGCTACAGCTTTTGTGACTATTTACTGTATCTCACAACTGTTTGATTATTGACTTTTTGATTCAGAGTGCTGGTACTACAGGACAATTAACATCCCATTATGAAAACTATAACCTGTATTTCAATGGACAGGGCTTGTTTCATTGCTACATGGTGACCCCACCTCCTTCTGCCTTCGCCTACATTTAGTATATCTTGAAGTTAGAGCCCATGTAATGAAACTTTACTGTTCAGTTGTTGGAGATCTTATTTCATAGAGGAAAAAACCCAAGTTCCTCTGCCTCATATATGTATGTGTACTTGAAAACCAGGTGTTAAAATGGGATGGTGGGAGAAGGGACAGAGATAAAGGCATGTGAGTCCAGATTCAAATGCAAAAAAAAAAAAAAAGTGCAGTTTGGAAGTTAAACTCAGGCACTCTTATTTGATGTCTAGTTCCTCCTTTTCAGCAGCTGTCCATCCCTGCAACTAAATAACTGTCTTGCAAATATAAGGCTAAATAACAGCCAGAAGTGGGCAGGAATTGACTGTGCAGATAATTTGAAATTACATTTGCAAAGATGATTCTCCCTAGACTCTCTCCATGGTGAATGGCAAGTATGAGATACCTTGCAGAAAGGAATGCAGAACAGTTCATAGAATCAATAGCCCAGTTTAGAAGGAACCTTGAACAACTCTCTTGCCAGCATTTCATGAGAAAGGGAGCCTAGAAGAGATTATCTACCACCCTGTCCAATCCCATCTTGAAAATCTCCAGTGATGGGGGCTCAACCATGTCCCTGGGCAGTCTGTTGCAGTGAATGACCTTTCTCACTATAAAATATTTCTTTCTTAAATAGAGATAAAACCTCTGCTACTGCAACTTGTACCTATACCAGCCTCCATCCTCTTTGTAGCCACCCTTTCAGTACTGGAATACTGTGATGAGGTCCCTCCTGAGACATCTCCATGAAGAGAAGACCTATCTCCTTCAGTCTTTTCTCATTGAACAGATTGTCCATCCCTTTGAACATCATGGCCCTCTTTTTCACCCTCTCCAGTATGGCTGCATCTTTCTTGAATTGCGGAGACCAGAACTGCACACAAAACAGTGTTACCCTGATCTGGGAGAATTTTATTTCCTTCAGCAGTGATAAAAGGATTAGTTGCCATAATTTGCCTTATCCATATCATTTTGTAAAATAGTGGTTTTTCATAGTATTATCATATCAATGATGGATATTTCTGCATAGCATAATAGCTTCTGTGCTTGCATATGAAGGGCTATGCAGGACCTCCATTTAGCTCAAAGGTTCATTTTTCTTTCATAAATCACATGGTCAAAATAGGTAATATGCAAAGCCATAATGATCAAGAACAAAAGATATTTAACAGAGTTAGAGCTGTTGGTCTGTGATCCTCAGGTGTGCTAGAGCAGCACAGTGCCATAAGGGCACTTCACGTGAAGGAAACTGTAGTTGTCATTATTTTCACAGCATATTACTCCCACTCCTAAACTGATCACCTCCCGTTTTAAGATTCTGTAAGCTTTTTTGTTGGATTGGTTGTTTTTTTTTTTTACCTTCTCTTCCCACCAGAAACTTACTATAAAACTTCACTCTTCAGTCATTTAGAAACCTTTTTCTGAATTCCAGATTAAAATAACTCCTGACTCACTTATACTCCTTGTCACACTAATCTTGTCTTCAGTTCCTTTCTCCCTTCCTCAAATATGAACACCTTTATTTCAAAGACTGCAAAGATTATCTTTAATCATGCAGCTGAAAGATAAGACTAAAAATAGTGGTGGTATTCAGCTGCAATTTTTTCACCTCTATTCTCAGTTTGGGCAGCAAAAACAATGCAAAGAAGCGAATGCTGATATATGCAAATCCATTGAGAACAGCAGGAAAATCAGCTGGAAGCAGTGTACTAAATAACCTGAAATGTAAAATTATAAACTAAGAGAAAGATTTGCAGTTTTTTAAAGTATATAAACAAGATTTGGGTTTTGAGCAGCTTTCATTCAGTCAGATATAAAGGGAAATGATCCAAATCTTCTCCTTTTCCTGTTTCAGTTATAATCTTGCAAGAGAAGTATGCTGTTTGCAGTCAAGTGGATAAGACATACATTCAGTCAACATACTGCAGTAAATCAACATTCAAATGGGCAAAAACATACTGATTGTGTCAGCTTGTGAGGTTTCGGTGCTCATGTGTCAGACACTGCTACTAAATCCCTACTAAATCTAGCCTATGAATCATGCAGATGCCAGACTTCACATTATCTTTCCATCCCACCCCTGCCAGAAATTAAACAGAAAATTCTCAAAGGGTACAGCCAAAAAAATACATTGAAGGTGACTTTAGTGTAAACAGTGTCAATAAAAGAAATACAAAGATCATTCATTTAATTAGCTTTATTTGCTTTGTTATTTGAAATTGCTTTTTAGTAGTGTTTCAGAACAATTGTTTAAGGCAAAAGTTTTCAACCTGTAGTCTGTGGACACTTCAGAGCACAAAGACACTTTCTGAAGTGTCCTTGGAAGACGTTTATATAGCAATATATGCTTGTAGGGTTCCTGAAGGTTTGTTGTCTTTTGTAATTATATGAGGCTCCCACAGATCACAAAAGGTGGAAAAGTGCAGCTACAAACAGCTTAGGATGAGTTACTTACAAGCTGTTTTCCCAGGGCAGTTTAGATTACTGTTTTTTTCAGCTTTTTGAACATATCGTCCTCCAGTCTTTGATGAACTTCTCAGTGCCTCCCATCCAACACCCACTTTGACAAATAACAGAGGGGAGATGGTGAGGAAAGCATGACCACTATTAGTCAGCTGTCATCACAAGGAGTAGCTATATCCCAATGTTACAGAAGGGCCAGGATGAAAAAGCAGTGTAACCAGGTGTCTTTGTAGCCTTTTCGTAGTCTGTGAATCATTTGCGAAGACACAGGTAGAACAGATACCACAACCAGGATGAAGCTATTGTACTTACCCCTCTGTTCTCAACATCAACAGAAACATTCAAGCTGTGTTTCACAACTGCCATGAAGTCATATGAAGCCTTCTCATATGACAAAGCACAGGTTCCTGTTCCATTCAGTGTATATACCTAGGAAATTCAACAAATAAAGCTTTTCTTCCTTGGTTTGATTGTGTGATTTAATGATATTAAGACTTTCTTCTTTGTTCTGAGATATTCTCATGTGGGCAAGGATTCTAGAGAAATGTAGGATGATTAAAATCATCTGCTACATGACATTGCAGAGACACAAATATGACTTCAGGAGAGCTAGCATAGCATGACATGTCTAAGGGGAAGCAAGACAGGGTACTAGCAGACAGAGCAGGATGTATGGGACATCACATGGGATACTGCTTGACATCCAGCTGCCAGACGAGATTATTGTCTCCTATATCTTACAGACCCAGTGAGGTCTGTGTGGATATCTAGGAAATCGAGATAAACTCACTGGGCAGGACTGTACTCCAAACTTGGATAGCTAGACTTTCATTTCTATGTGAAGGCAAGGTCTCTTGGACTCCTGAGTCTATGACTGTAGAAATTTACATAATGCAAAGATAGAACCAAATATCTGGGTTTACCTGATTTTCTGTCTTAAAGAGTTGAGTATCAAGGGCTATACTGAATATGTTTCCCTTTCAACATCTGACACTTTCAGTATTAGGTATTCTGTCTCATAGGCAAGATCCCGTGTCACTAAGCAGACAGCTATGGAGATATCTACATCACTTAACTTTAGACACCAACAGTGAAGATATCTTCCTTTGATCTAGGTTCTCCAGTTTGCCTTTGTAGTCAGAAGAGAGAAATAAGCAATTTTAGAGTGCCAGCATCAAGCATATTTTCAATATCTACTAAAGGGTGAGATCATTCATACTTTGCAAGGATCTGTTTCTTTCCACCAGGAAGTCTAGCTGACCAGATCAGAGACAGATGTTGACACTGTGGAAGTCTACATGTAGATGGCTTTTCCCCTGGCAACTTTGCCCTGTCACTGTTGTTCTGTTTCATGCATGCTGAGAAATAATGTTATTGAAAAGCTTGGAGGTGGCTTCTGTTAGATATTACCAACCACATTTGGGGAAGGTGCATACCTAATAAAGACTTAGGTCTCACCAAGAATAATTTTCAGGAAATCTTGTTCTTTCTGTAAGATTATGTCCACATGACCAGCACTTCTGTGTCCAGAAACAAACCATGGTATATAGTGCACATGCAGTGAAGAAAAGGTTGGGATTTTGCCCTCTGCTTTTAGCAGTCAGTCACATGCAACCAGTTCAGAACTGCATTTAAGAGTAACATTAGGAAGATATGGAGCATTCAGTAGTAGCTAATGGTGCTCTGATGTTAAGCTCCTTATCTGCTAAGCATATCTGTACTAAAGAGGTAAGTTTGGCTAATTACACATCGTACTTTGTGTATGAAAACACACCAGCAGAGCTTGAACAATGTTTTGAACCTTGTGGTCTTTCACCTTCCTATGATTAAAATTACAATTTCCCATTGGCTTTCTTTTGGGGAATTCATCCATGTAAAGAATTACTGTGTGATATAACACTGTGTGATACGACGCTCTTCAGTGTCTGAAATGACTTAGGCTTCTGGATATGCCTTTTCCAATCGACTTTGTGCTTGCAGAAGAGTCTCAAGAGGCCTTTGTGTACTGGTATAATCTGTAAAAACAAATATTTGGTGTGTTTGTTCTCTTTCCCTTCTGGTCAATTTAGTGGCAATGCAACATGCAATAGATCTGAGAATAGAAGTGCCAAGATACTGGATGGAAAGTTGTATTTTGGCTTTTGACTGTGTCAAGGTAAAAACTTACTGGCCTGTTGGGTCTAATACTGACCTTTTTTGGTCAAAGTTGGTTGAACTGGTAATGGGATCTGAGGTTATTCAGCTTTGTTATGAGGTGGAAACACAGATATCAGTTGCTGCTTTCTAACTTTTTTGTGTTCTGAGAAATTGTTTTTAACATGTATACTGCTGTAGATGACACAATAAATGTATTATCATTTTGTACATGTCTGTTCTGATATAAAATTTCACCAAAGAGAACTTTTTGTCTGTGAAGTTATGGGGTAGTGTATTTATTCCTGCAACATCAGGGTGTTTTTCTGGGCTAAAAATGTTGGGTTCCTTCCTCATGGGAAGGAGTATCTGGATTATGCTGGGTAGTCAATCCCGAACCAATCAGGCATGAAGTCCTTGCCATTAGTGGGCCCAGCACACTCTTCCATCACCATCAATAGCAGAGTTACATGAGGAAGGTGTTCAGCACACTGCATCAGTATAAGGCATGACTGTGGTCTAATAATACCGCCAGTAAAAATGGAACACACTCTTCACTGCAGCTAATAACTCCTGTAGTTCTGAGCTTTGATCCACAGGTCTTTTGAGGCCTACATATTATTTCTAAGGTGTCTAAACAGTAAAAGAAAGTCTTGTCCCCAGACAAAAGCACTGCCTTTTGGGAAAAGTGGAAAGGATTGTTCTCTACAATACCGAATATATTTCATGGCTTCCTTTCTTTTACAGCCAAAGCAAACCTTAAAAGTTTTGTCATTTTCAAAAGATAAGGTACATTCACCCTACTGAAACACAGGACTCCACAGTAGAAGACTTATTGCTAATATTCCTCTCATCTTTTCCAGCTGCCATAAGTTTCTGTCTGGGCCTCATGTATCTATGAATCCTCCACAAAGGCTACATCTTTCAATTGCTATTCTCCCTCACTGTTTACCCAAAATACAGATATTTAGAGCCCCGTCCTTTGTTGGGAAAGTGGACATTTATCTATTGAAACTTTGGGTAGATATGTGTCAGGGAGCAGCTAGGGCCAGCTGACCATGATGGATGGGTGGGAGACAAGGGGCATTGCATGGGGACTAGGACCAGTCACAGCCACAGGGAGGAAGCAAGGATGACCTGGAAATGGAGACTAGATTCAACCAAGAGTCCTGATCATCAGACAAGTTCATGGTGGCAATGCAGGTCCAAGACAGGTACAAGGCCAGGCTAGGACATCAGCCTAGGAACCTGTCCCTGATCAGTGGAGCGCTTGGTGGGGCAGGGCCCTTGCAAAGCTGGAAATTAGCATGCTTCATCACTGCTGAGACAGGGCCAGGGCTGAAATGGGGTCTTGGACACAGGGGTAGGTTGATAGTTCAGAGAGGCAGGGCAGATATACGGATTTTCATGGTTTTGCTGTGTTTCAAATCATTGTAAATACAATGATAGATAACCCATTTACATGGATTTACTAGGCAGCCTCAGCCCCTTCTTTGAGTGCTGCATGAGGAGGTACAGGATATATCTCCCCTTTCCACTGTGGGCCAAAGGGACAAAGAATGTGTGGCCAAGGAGAAAGGGAAGTAACAATGTAGCACAAAGTGGTAGCAGAGAAACATGTTTATATATCTGGTTAAAAATAGTTGCTTAAACAAAGGTGGATGAACAGTAGTACAACTGGCTGAAAAGACTCATGATCAGTAAAGCCATTGGCTGTGCGCATGGAGGAGGAACGTTGTTTTGTGGTGCAAAACTACTGAAGGAGCTAACCACTACTAACTGATAGGCAGAAGACTATAAAAGCCTGTAAGCTCACTCAATAAACTTCTCTGGTTGCACCACAGCTGGAATCTGTGCCTCAATACGCTACATTCCACCATATGCATAAGGGCTGCATCGGTCATTATCTTGCTGATCACCTCCACCAGTATGTCAGCCTTGTCTAAAGGTCCTATGGTAAATATCCACAATTTTAAAGCAATACCACACTATAGTGTATTTGTTCCAAGAACCAAACACTGATAAAACCTCATTTACTAGGTCTGTCAACACCAAGGAGAGTCCTACTTTGAATCCACCTATATATTCTGAAATTGAAAAATTCCCCAACTCTCGTTCAGATACTTTTTTTTTTTTTTAATTATCCCTCTGTCTAGTTTAAATTACTTTAAAGCACTTTTTTAACCCTACATCTTCAAGACTTACAGGTTAGGGCTCTGACTTTACCAGAGGACTGTTTCTGGCAACTTCTGTCTAGAGGCGCATAGTCATCAAACTATCTGGCAGTTTCTGTAGCCAGTAGCTGAGCAATCAGTAACCACTGGATTTCAAAACAATTCTGATCCTTCTCTACGTCTCATGATTTGGACACTCATCCATTGTTGGGCAAGGCTTCTCTAAAGACAGAAAGATTATCACATTAGGTATTTCTTATTACAGCATTTATTTTTTCCTGAAGATCTTTCTCTCTCATGCAATGCACTTTTACATTGATTACATCTTCATTTAGTTTGAATTACACTGAAACCATCATGGGTTTTCAGGCCTTGTATTTTACAATAGCTTCTACTATCCCTTTACACTGCTCTGAAAATCCAGCTCTGGGTGAATTAGGCAATCTTGAGGAAGCTTAGAATTGGCAAAGCAAGTAAAGCTGTCTGATGAAAACTTATTTTTAATCTGTAGTTCACACAGTCAAGCTTTCTGAAAAAAACATGCTGACACTGTAAGAGTTAAAAATCTATTCTTGCCGGAAATTTCAGTTACCTTGATAACCTCTCCTACCTGCAACAACAAGAAAAACAGCTGAAAAAGTTGTTTTTAATCTTTCTGGGTTGTCGTGTAGTTTGTAAATGGATTTAAAAATAATAATCTAAGAGTTAAACTGTGTAAAAGATGCCAGGGGATTAGAGGAAGCGAAAGAATCTTTTCCTAGCTAACATAACTTAATGATATATTGCAGCTGTCCTTTGATAATTACTTAAATCTCACTCATGAGAGGGTGCATCTCAGGTTCATGCTAGTCATACTGCCTGTGAGCAGCGGACAATGTTTCAGAACATTTACTGTCTTGCTTTCTGAACTGCACACATCCAGAGGCCAGCAGTACGCCCAGCAGACACCGCATCCCACAAGATGGCAGTGCCTCCACACAGTGCTTCCAGACGCATCTGGTGACAGCCCTTTTGCCACCTTTGCAGGCCTGCTGTGGAGCAAAACGTCCCTGAAGCTTTCCCTACTCCCACACACACCGTTGTGTCCTCAGAGGTGCCATCAACGTGGGATCAGCAGCCTTTCCACCACCCAAAAATAACCCTTATCCAAGCAATTTTTGCACTCTCCAAGATTATTAACCTTATCACCAGATTGTTCCAAGTATGCTCATTAAACACATTATGTACATAGTGGCTTTGTGTATAAGCAGAATATCTTCATATAGCCCTCAGTTCCAGGTTATGTATTACTTCCTGATCCAAAATGTCTGAAAAATAAAAAGCTTGGACATGTTAATAGCTCTGGGGGGGGATGCAGAGGCATTTTGAACAAAGGACAGGCAGAGCAGATAGCTGATGTACTGCTGAGGTTGCAAGAGAATTTTAGAAGCAGTGGTCTGGATCTCTGTGAGATGATTTGGTAGGGTGACTGGCAAAAGCCTGAGGCAAAAAGGGATGTCTAAGAAGTAAGTGAAGATAAATGTGCACAGTGATGGTATATGGGTACAAACTAGGTTGTGGGATCCAGTAGGAATGTGAGAGTGCTAGTGCTGTTGAATATTTATGAGGAGGCTGAACACTGAATGACTAGTGGAAAAAAATCTTCATTGTGTACTGGGACCTATCACTTTTTTTTTTTTTTTTTCCATATTTTTTCCTTCCTCTGGGTCATTGGTCCGGTAAAGAAACTTCCTAGTAATAAAGGATGCGGACGTACAGTGAGATGAGTGGTCTTAAAGTCAAATGCAATCTATCCTGGGAGCTCAGTTGAAAAGTGGGAATTGCTGTGTGACACAAGATGGCTGATACATGCACCAAATAAACAACAAAATTAGGTGGGAGAGAAAGAGAAGATTGTACTGGTAGAAGAACACAATTATAGTCTGGCCATTCTTTATGAAGTCTTAAATGAAACATCCAAACTGACAGAGTTCAAATTTACAAACCCACAACAGCTGTAATTATCACTTTCATTTTATAGGTATACATCACACAAATGTGTTCACATCACTGTGCTAGGCAACAAACATAACAAAGGACCAAAGGTTACTGTTACAAGAAAAAGTTATAAAGAGGTCAGAACAGACAAAAAGTCACTTTATAGAGGTGTCTGATTCATTAATACAGATGGATTAAATGCTTAATTAATACAGGACTGATCTGAATCATATTTAGAGAAATCTGGACAATTCATCTCTGCTCTAACAATGGAACTAGAGTTGAAGCACCTAAAATCAACAAAGAGGTTTCCACAAAGTCAAATGTCTCCTGGCCTAAGTAATTAACCAACAATAGAGCAAAATGAGGGATTGGAGAATTACTTTTTGAAACCAAACTGATAGTGCAGAAAGCCAGCAAGTACTTGAATGCCCATCATCTTTAGCAGTGCTTTCAAGTCTGAATGAAGGCTCTCCTGGGAATGGTCCTGCCTTGAAAAGAACTGTAGCTGTGTAGTGTACCTTGTGTGTCCTTCCTTTATTCTTGGAGAGTTTGATGGAGAGTCTAGCTCAATACTGAAGAAAGAGGAAGGCCACCCAAAGAAGTGATGCAAGGACAACATCGGTTCTAGACTATACTTTGCTCCATTAGACCACACTGCTGTGTTGATAATTCTAACCCCAGAAACATCATTGAGAAGAGTGCTAATGAGGTGAAAAATGATGGCATTTCTGATTAATGAGTTGAGAAATGATGGGCAGGACTGAGATAATCACAATAATCACAGCTGATTAGTCCTCAAAGGGAGGTCTTCAAAAAAGCACAAAAAAATGCAGCTTAATTGTGCATTTCATTGATGGATCCAGCCAGTCTTCCAGGTTATGGTGGCAGAAGGTTCATTTCACCTACACAGGGATCAGCATCTGAGCAGTAAGACTAGGTCTGTAAATTATTCTGAGCTCAAGGCAGCCCAGCTGGCATACTTCGTTGTGCTATAATTTCTTCCTTCATAATGCACATAATCTACCTAATGTTCAGCCACTCCATGTTTTGCCATGGAGAAGAAAGGGCTTGGGGTCCTCTGGCCTAATTTAATCTCCCTGTTCAACAGGCATGGAATTAAAAACCACAAGCAGATAATGTAACTTACTCTTTTTCTGTGTCACTCTGGAGACATCTTGAGATTCCTTTTAAAAGAGGTTGCTGCTCCATGGGTAGGTGTTTAGAATGTTTCTGTGTGTAATTCCCATTAAGTTGTCTCAAAACAACTAGGAAAACATCATTAATCATTATGACAAACCTTTGTCACCATATAACTGTTTCAAATCAAGATTAGGAATAGTGCTCTAAAACCTGAAAATTTCAGGAAACACTAACAAAGACGTGACAAACATGCTGGGCCTGGGAGGAGTTAATGTAGTTCCTTTTTACTGAGTGCTAACGTGTTGACTTCAACTTAAGGTCTAGCTTTTCCCAACAAAACCAGTTGATTTTATATGCTTAAGGAGAGAAAGAACCAGTGTTGTGATACCAGTCTATACCAGGTGAGAAAAACAGCTCACTTTCAGGACAAGAAATTCACAGAAGGCTCTTGACACTATGGAAAGCCATAAAGGATTCAAGCTTGCAATCTTTCAGGTATTACAGTGTCACAGCAACTCATCCTGCTAGAAAACCTCAAACAGAAGTTACACCATTCTGGTACACAGATGTTTTCCTTTTGGGGCTGTTTTTTTCTAGCAGTGATAACTGAGTGACATAGTTGACTGGACTATTTTCTCTGGAAAAAGTCTTGTGTTTGTGTGTGAAGTTCAGGTATTCTTGATACTGCCATTTGCATAATTGTTTCTTCAGTTCACTTTGAACCTATAGAAAAGAAATTTAAAACCAGAGAATTGGAAAATTAAGACTTAGTGGACTGTGAATGAAAAATATACCAAAATGTCTGACTACTTTGCCCAAATGTACATAGGCACCCAAATCAGTTAAGATTAAATCTTCACACCTTTTTAGAACTTTAACTATGTCACTATTAACTTTTCAAAATAGACTTACTTTCCAAAGTTCAGAGGATGACAGGACAGTGTTTGACTGAGGTTTCCTTGCTTACTGCTGTAAACTTATTCATAAATATTTCCAGGTTTTTTGTATAATTTTTATTTTTCCTCATACTGAAACTTTGTGCCTCCTTGATGTGACCTGCTATATACAATAAGGGTTCTTCTCCAGGCTTTCAGTTTACGCAGATTGAAATCCCTCTTAAACATCCCTTACTGGCTCTGAAAGATACTGAATTGACTTGAATACATTACATTTGAGAGGTGTCTTGGGAATCCTCAAAAGCATAGGTGAAACTGATTTTTTTACCATCTGACACAATGAACAACTAGATTGAACAACCCTGAAAGTCCATGGCCTGCTATTAAGACTGCTGTGGCAAGAGTGTGGCAGGAGTGTGGCAGGGGGAAAGTAGCTTCTGTTGCCCTGCATAAAGCAGCTCACACACAGAGCTGTGGCAGAAGGAATGCACCTGGTTCTTGCCACTGTTCACAAAAGTAGTCTGTTCCTGTGGATTAATCCTGTGGATTAATTTGTTGATGTTACCTCTGCTAATGTTCATCTTCGTCTCTATCTGCTCCTGCAAGGGCAGTGGCTTTCCTGAATGTCTAAAAACTGACTTACAAATGCTATCTTAAACTAAGAAGACACGTCAAATGCTCCTGACCACCCAGCTGCGATCTTCTGTAGCTAACATTAGTGCTGAAAATCTATGACAGTGTTATAATTGTAGCACTATTAAAACAAACCCATTCCAAATTAAATAAAAAAATAAACTGTTAAGTGAAAATGTTAATTCTTACAGGGGATGGATGGATGGATGGATGGATGGACGGACAAATGTGATTTAAGTGATCTGAATTTAAGAATTCATTTAGTAATTCTGTTACCTATTCTGTATTAAGTATGATCTCTATAGTGATATATGGAAAAGATGGTGGGATGTGCAGAAGTACATCTTGGATGTCAGTGCTCCCTGAAAGTCATTTTAAATATTCATCACTGAGGTGCCATTTATTCTGCCTTTATTTTCTCTGCTAACCATACAGACATGCCAGTCCTGATGTGCAACTTCAGGTATGGGCAGAACACGCTCTCTGAAGCTTTGAAGACCCTAAAAATTAAGAGGGGTTTCCTCCACCATCCTACTACTCCTCCCAGCAAGCTCAAGACCCTTCACCATTCCTGTGCACAATACCAAACCTCAGTTTCATCCCATATAGAAGCCACCTTGTTTGGCAGCAGCACAGACTCTCACATGTTGCAGACACTTAAAACTGAGGAAACACACACACATAGAGAAAATAATAATTATTTTTTATAACTGTAGGAAGCCATAACAGATGCACTGTCAAGCTGTAATGAGTGGACAATCTGCTCCGGAAGAAGTTATCCCTAAGCAACATGAATGCAAGCCAGCACGTACCACTTAATCTTGGGGTCAGTGATCACCCTCTGTGACATGGTTTAGACATTATTTGTCATTGGGTAGGGTTAATTTCACCTACATTTAGCTACCCTCATAAGAAATATCCAGGCTAAGCTACTAGGGAGACTGAGGCACAGTTAGTGTGTCATTCTTCTCATCTAACCTAATTTTCTGAGGATGTGTTTTCACATTTTCTCATGGCTTTTGATTCATTCTATTATTTGGGGGAAAGTGCAGACAAATTTAGCTAGGTTTTAAAAGTACAGGCTCTCTAAAATATACTACAGGAAATTTATCCAAATTCTAATATTATAAAAAATATAAAGGAAGTGTTTGGAAAAATTTACTGAAAATGCATGGATTGCCCTGGAAAAAAGGAAGGGAAAGGGAAAGGGAAAGGGAAAGGGAAAGGGAAAGGGAAAGGGAAAGGGAAAGGGAAAGGGAAAGGGAAAGGGAAAGGGAAAGGAAAAAAGAAAGAAACTTATTAGGAGAAAATAAAGAAAGTATGCAGTGTTACAAGATTTCCACTGAGACATCATCATGATAGCTATCAGATTTAAAGCAGAAAAAAGTCCCATGTCAGGGAATTCATCAACAATTTGTAAAGGGTCATTGCTTCAAAACTTATTTGGTGTTCATCAGAACTATATGAATACAAATAAAGTCAGCAGTAGTATCAAGGGAAAAACAGATATTGGTATGCTATGCTTTCAGAAGTAGATCAAAGCACAGATCTGTTCCAGAAAAACAAGAGAGGCACACAAGCTTAAATGGTTTTTATAATCTTATGTACTTGTTACTCACCTCTGCATTTGAGAAGCAATATAAAAGAGCGACAACAAAACCCTAAGACAGGAAGGAGAGGAAATAAAAAGCCAAACATCAGCATTTAAAATGTAGAATCAGAGAAAAACATCAGGGTTCATTCAAAATCTGAATAAGACAGCAAAATATTCATATTTTCCATTGTTCTACTGAAATTTAGGTGATGTGGCAATATTTATTGGGTTTTCATAACAGAATTAAAATTTTCAATGGCTGGCAACACTATAATATTGTCCAAGATAATGTTCTGAATAGTGATACAACAAAATAAAAGAAACAAATAAATATTAAAATGATGAACTCACTTTTGATAAATGGTAAGGGCAAAGCAGGTTTTTATATAGTATCCTTACTTTTTTATTCCTCTTATTATTCACCTTTATTATATGTGGAATTAGTTTCAATCAGTTCACCCCATGGAATGGTCTCCATGGCACTCTGTCATTGTTATTTAATAAAGGTAGATATTGTATTATTAAAATGAACTCTAAGTCAGAACTTAAAAGTAGTGTGAGATTTCTAAGTCAGAACTTAAAAGTAGTGTGAGATTTCAAAGAAAAAGATGAAACAACAGAAAGAGGTGGTGGACGAGTAAGATAGAATGTGTGCTTTGAATTTAAACACATTAACATCTCTTCTAATAACTAAAGTAAAATGTAAAGTTCCTGAGAGTGTGGTGTTTCAGATCATACCTTGTAGGACTGATAACCATTTTATTCAGCTTACCTGAAAAGAACCCAAGCCTAGCTCAACATAAAGGCGAGCTTCCAGGCCAGTGCTTTCTGGGAAAAATGCAAATACAATGTAGTGCACTCCAAAGAGAGGGATTAACAGTAACGTGGATTTAGCAAGTCTCCTGTCAAACCAAGAATTAAAGAACAATGCACTGTTAGAAATATGGAATTATTGATAGCAGTGATATGTTGAACCAAATTTTAATACAGAGGACAGTTCCATAATGGAAGCAGCTACATCCAACAGAGTTACAGAAAGATTGCTTTCTGCTACCCCTACTGTCAACACCTGGTGAAAAAAGATGAACAAATCAGCATGCAAGTTTTCTGGGTTGACCTTTAAGGGTTCTTCTCCCTGATACACATGCAAAAACAGGGCGATCAAACTGAGTACTCTGATCAACTACCCTGAGACTAACCTCAATCACATATAGGCATCCCCCAATAGAAATGTCTCAACTTCCAAAACTGCCAATGGAGATGTAATCATCAGTGTCCATAGGAGCTGATTCAGTTGCTTAAACAGTGGTGTTGTAGCCACTGGTGATGTCCTTGGGCATTCTGCTTGGCCTTCAGCTCACTCCAGAAGGGTACAGGTCTGTGCTAGGTCCTGTGACATAACTCACATCTATACCTACATATCTTTAGATGAGTTAAATAGCTCACTAGAGTCATCTGACTGCACTGATGAGATCTCCATTAATTATGAAGGGGATTGTAAATAGGAAAGGCTAGGTTCAGTTACCAGCACATCATCTTCACATTGCTTCTAAAAATTTAAAGGAAATTATCTGTGTCTTTCTCTATGTGGTGATTTGTGTGGAAAGGAGGACTGGAAGCAAGATGGATTACCTGACATTCAGTGTTTGCACTTTCAAGCAACAACTCCTTTTGGAGTTGTAGTACTTTATGTTTTGCTTTTCTCTTTGTCCCCAGCATATCCAACCCACCCTTCTCCCTTTGAAGAAAAACAGAGAGGTGATATTTTGGATGAAAAAGAGCATTTGCATTGTTATTTCTTCTGGGGATTTCTTTTTCTATTAGTAAGGAGTAGAACATTTTGTGTTCCTGACCATAAAACATTTCTTAGAATTTCACAGAACAGGCCAATATCAAGAGACTCAGAAAGACTTACACAAAGTGGCTTGAATGGCTCCCTCCTCCCTCTTGAGATTTCAATTTGTGGACTAGAATTCTGATCACATTAATAAATATAATAAAGTTAATCTGAAAAACAAGACAATATCTGTAAACTTACTACAAATAAGAGCGTATCTTCAGTTGATACAAATTAACTAAAAATCCCCAGCCATAGGAATTGCTCTGCTATAAACCAGTGAAGATCTGCTCTCAGATCAAACCAATTGCATTAGAAACAATATTATTTTTTCTCAGCAAAATATATATAAAGATATGCTGAAAGCTATATTGAATTAATATAGACCTACATATCTCAGTACTGGTTTATATGTAATATTAACTATTTGTACTTGTCAGCACCTAGCAGATTTTATGTGGTCTAATCAGCACCTTCTGTTCCCTTGTCTATGACAGGGATTATACCAGATACAGATCTGAGTGACATACTGTTTCCTCCCTAAATTTGCATAGAATAGACTTACGCATAAAGGAAATCTTTTGTCTTAAGTTTACAACCTAGGAATTTATTTTAAAAATAAACTACATAAAATTATCTGTATGTATTTCCTGTACTAAACTGGCTTCATATTAGCTCTAAGAACCTTGCTGGTATGGATTGTCTTTCTTCAGTAATGGCTTACAGAGACAGAGGCAAGAATGTCAAGATGGTTCCATTATGTCATAGCATGACTCTAGAAAATATAGGGTTTAGTCTTTAGGTTGTGATTTAGGGTGTTTGGGAGAAAAACCCCAACAAACCTAACAAAACCAAGAACACCCACATGCTATACAATAATTTCCAGCTTTTTGAAATTCAGCACCATAACATGTGCTATTACTTTTCCCAGCTTGCTGACAGGAGGCACTAACTTAGCTTTCACATTTCAAAAGATACTTAAGACAAAATGAAAACATACTAATACAGTTAACAGAATGGGACCTTTGATGATCCATAGCACTACTCCATTTTCATCGTCATCCCAACATCTGAAACAGTAAACAAAACCAGTTATGTTGTCTGTCACATGTGAGCTTTCCATAACACATGAATGTATTTCTGTCACGGAATAGGAAAGTGACGGACACTAAGTTCTATATCACCATTTAAAGGCCACTGCCAGTACTGGTACCCTGAGAGCTCTCTCAATATTTCTGTGCAGCCCAATCTAAAGGTTTAGAAGTTTGTTCAGTAAGAAGAAAGGGTTAAAGAACCAAAACAAAGTCAAGAAATGAACATTTGTATTTTCAGGCTTCTTTCCTCCTTTTCTGTTAAAGAAGTGGCTGATTTACAGTGTACAGATCAGAGACTAAGCTACTGTGCATTATTAAATGTAATGACCTTGTGTTCATGAGAAAATAGGCAAGAAAAACCTAAAGCCCTAGAAAAGGTACCCTAAAGGAAGGGAGATGAATGGGCTTTTGGCCAAAACAGCCTGTTTTGAGGTTCATGTATTTAACCTCAATAGCAGTTCAGTTTAACTCCCTGCAGCCATATGCCATACATGTTAGGTTGTATCATAGAATCATAAAATATCTAGGATTGGAAAGGACCTTAAGATCATCAGGATCCAACCCCCCTGACATGGGCAGGGACACCTCACACTAAACCATACCACCCAAGGCCTCATCCAACCTGGCCTTGAACACTGCCAGGGATGGAGCATTCACAACCTCCCCGGGCAACCCATTCCAGTGCCTCACCACCCTAACAGGAAAGAACTTCTTCCTTATATCCAACCTAAACTTCCCCTGTTTAAGTTTTAACCCATTACCCCTTGTCCTATCACTACAGTCCCTAATGAGGAATCCCTCCCCAGCATCCCTAGAGGCCCCCTTCAGATACTGGAAGGATGCTATGAGGTCTCCCCGCAGCCTTCTGTTCTCCAGGCTGAACAGCCCCAACTTTCTCAGCCTGTCTTCACACTTCAGAGCAGCTTTTAGAAAACAATTTCCTGCTTTACACCTGGCTCTCATATTGAAAGAGAATAGAAAAAAAGAACAAAAACCAAACTCATCAGGACATAATATGCTTGTTTGAAAGGTAATTATTTGAAGAGATTAGTGTTACTAAATTGTGGCTGGTTTCTAGGGATGCTGGGGATGGACTCTTCATTAGGGACTGTAGTGATAGGACAAGGGGTAATGGGTTAAAACTTAAACAGGGGAAGTTTAGATTGGATATAAGGAGTGGGCAGGGGTGCCCGGGTGGGTCTGTCCTGGCTTTGGGGCTCATGGGAGCCAGCGCTGGCATGTCACAGGCATCTGAACCCTTCCCATTCCCTCCGTGCACCCCACTATTTTTTTTTTTTTCCTCACTAACAAGGAGGGTCTGGTTGAAGGAGTGAAGGTTGAGGGCTGCCTTGGTTGCAGCGACCACGAGATGGTAGAATTCAGGATCTTGTCTGGTAGGGTCAGTAGAATAGCAAGTAGAATCGCAACCCTGGACTTTAGCAGGGCAAACTTTGGCCTCTTCAAGCAATTGCTAGGGGAAATCCAGTGGGCTAGGCTGCTTGAAGGGAAAGGGGCCCAAGATAGTTGGTTGACGTTCAAGGACTGCTTTTTCCGAGCTCAAGATCGGAGCATCCCGACACGTAGGAAGTTGAGGAAGAGGGTCAGGAGACCGGCGTGGTTAAATAGGGAATTGCTCGGTATGCTCAAGTGGAAGAGGAGAGTTTACAGGTCATGGAAAGAAGGGCTGGCCACTTGGGAAGAATATAAGGCTGCTGCTAGAGGATGTAGGAAAGCTGCTAGGATGGCTAAGGCCTCCTTGGAATTAAAGCTGGCGAGAGGGGTCAAGGACAGCAGAAAGAGCTTTTTCAAATACATGGCAGGTAAAACTAACACCAGAGGCAATGTAGGCCCGCTGATGAACGGGACGGGTGCCCTGGTGACAGAAGATACAGAGATGGCAGAGTTACTGAATGACTTCTTTGTCTCTGTCTACTCTGCTGGAGGCAGTCCTGAAGAGCCCTGTACCGCTGAGACCCCGGATGAAGATAGGTCAACGGAGCGGTCTGCCTTAGTTGATGAGGAATGGGTTAAAGATCAGTTGAGCAATCTGGATATCCATAAATCCATGGGTCCAGATGGGATGCACCCGCGGGTGCTGAGGGAACTGGCTGAGGTCATTGCTAGACCGCTCTCCATCATCTTTACCAAGTCTTGGGAAATGGGAGAGGTGCCTGAGGACTGGAGGAAAGCAAATGTCACTCCTGTCTTCAAAAAGGGCAAGAAGGAGGACCCGGGTAACTACAGACCGGTTAGCCTCACCTCCGTTCCTGGGAAAGTGATGGAACACCTTATCCTTGGTGCCATCTTAAGGCATATCAAGGATAAGAGGGTTATGAGGGGCAGTCAACATGGCTTCACCAAGGGGAAGTCGTGCTTGACCAATCTTGTAGCCTTTTATGAGGAAATAACGCGGTGGATGGATGATGGTAGAGCGGTGGATGTGGTCTACCTCGACTTCAGCAAAGCGTTTGACACGGTCTCCCACAGCATCCTTGCGGCTAAATTGAGGAAGTGTGGTCTGGATGATCGGGTAGTGAGGTGGACTGTGAACTGGCTGAAGGAGAGAAGCCAGAGAGTTGTAGTCTATGGGGCGGAGTCTAGTTGGAGGCCTGTATCTAGTGGAGTGCCTCAAGGGTCGGTACTGGGACCAGTATTATTTAATATATTCATCAACGATTTAGATGAGGGAATTGAGTATACTATCAGCAAGTTTGCTGATGACACTAAGCTGGGAGGGGTGGCCGACACGCCAGAAGGCTGTGCTGCCATCCAGAGGGACCTGGACAGGCTGGAGAGCTGGGCGGGGAATAACTTGATGAAATATAACAAGGGAAAGTGTAGAGTCCTGCATCTGGGCAGGAACAACCCCAGGTTCCAGTATAGGCTGGGGAACGACCTGTTAGAGAGCAGTGTAGGGGAGAGGGACCTGGGGGTCCTGGTGGACGACAGGGTGACCATGAGCCGACACTGTGCCCTTGTGGCCAAGAAGGCCAATGGCATCCTGGGTTGTATTAGAAGGGGGGTGGTTAGTAGGTCGAGAGAGGTCCTCCTTCCCCTCTACTCTGCCCTGGTGAGACCGCATCTGGAATATTGTGTCCAGTTCTGGGCCCCTCAGTTTAAAAAGGACAGGGACCTGCTGGAGAGAGTCCAGCGCAGGGCAACTAAGATGAAAGGGAGTGGAGCATCTCCCTTATGAGGAAAGACTGAGGGAGCTGGGTCTCTATAGTTTGGAGAAGAGGAGATTGAGGGGTGACCTTATTAGTGTATATAAATATATAAAGGGGGAGTGTCACGAGGATGGAGCCAGGCTCTTCTCAGTGGCAAACAATGAAAGGACAAGGGGTAATGGGTACAAATTGGAGCACAAGAGGTTCCACTTAAACCTGAGAAGAAACTTCTTCTCGGTGAGGGTGACGGAACACTGGAACAGGCTGCCCAGGGAGGTTGTGGAATCTCCTTCTTTGGAGACATTCAAGACCCGCCTGGACACGTTCCTGTGTAACCTTATCTAGGTGTTCCTGCTCCGGCAGGGGGATTGGACTAGATGATCTTTTGAGGTCCCTTCCAATCTCTAACATACTGTGATACTGTGTAAGGAGGAAGTTCTTTCCTGTGAGGGTGGTGAGGCACTGGAATAGATTGCCCAAGGAGGTTGTGAATGCTCCATCCCTGGCAGTGTTCAAGGCCAGGTTGGACGAGGCCTTGGGTGATATGGTTTACTGTGAGGTGCCCCTGCCCATGGCAGGGGAGTTGGAACTTGATGATCTTAAGGTCCTTTCCAACCCTAACTATTCTATGATTCTATGATTCATATAGAAGTATATATTTCAAGGACTGCATATTAGGAAACTACGTGAAATTCAATACTTACTATGATATTTCCAGGTTTTATTACACCACATATGCACATCAAAATCAGAAGACTTTAAGATTTTCTGCCACTTGCTTATGAAGTGCAAAGGTTAAACGCACAACTTAGGAAAAAAAAAAAACAAACAACAAAAACCACCACCACCACCAACGATGTCCTTGGCCTCCTTAGTGAAGCTCTGACTTACCCGGTATTTTGTTGGTTTATTCGTGTGAGGATCCAAGCAAACATCACACCAGTGGGAGCCCCTGAATAAATCAACATTAAACACATAATTTTCTGAACACTGAGTCCCATAGAAACTTTATCCCCAAACTGTTCACAGTGCATCAGATTGGATGAATATTAAAGGTCAAACAATGGGTCAGACAATTTTAAATAACTTTATGAAAGAACTTAACTTGCAGTTCAAGGAAAGAAAAGAAAAGGCAGGAGAATGAAATCAAGAGGAAGAATAGGGGATGCTGCAAAATGGTGTTTTCAAAAATAACAGCTAAGAATTGCTGGAAGGTTTGGATATGAATTACAAGCACTTGTGAAGCTGGAGAAACCACTCATTTACTTAGAGCTCTTTTATCTTATGGATTGTGGCCAGCATACAACTCTTTGCACTAGCTGGAATAGTTCATATTTTTGTCCCAGGCAGCCTCTACTAATCGCTCTAGACCCATAAACTGGTGAGCATTCCATGAAAGTTTAACTAAACCCAGGACCCGGTGCTTTCTAGCCTCACTTTATTACTGCTTATCCTTCTACATTTATGACTAAATGGTTATTTCTCTTTTCTCCTTTTTTCAAACAGGCCTATAAACTAACAATTGCTTTTTCTCTTCTTCTGTGGAATTACATTTCCAAAGACTAAGTGATTTTCAAAGCTGCTACAAAAAGGACTATAATCTGAGGCAGGTAACATTTTCACTGGTAAATCTATAGAAATATCAGTAATATCTTTCTAATTGTCATTTGAGATCTGTAGGAAAGGCCCAGAAGTCAACCTTCCTAATTTTAGACCTTTATTTAAGGCCTTTAAGATGGGACTATATTCAGTTCAAGTTGTCTTTGTAATTAATGAAGAGAACTATCTACATCCGTATCACCTAACACATGAGTTGCCCCTGAGATGTCTCATTTTGCGTTGATTATAGAAGGAGATGAAGATTGCTACATTATTAGTTGAGATGTTTCCTTTGCTATCTCAAGTTAGATGGGATTAATCAAGGTTTAAGCATCTAGTTTCAGGCAATCATAACTGGAACAGATCCAAAAAATTTAATTATATTTTAAAACTCTTAGAATATGAAGATGAAGGATAAATTGCTATTTGCTTCAGGAGGTCTAGATTTCACTTCAAGCCAAAATATATCAATGTGACTACTCAATTTGGATGCCTCTATTTTAGAATAGCCAAGGTGAGGTATAAGGATATCTAAGATTTACAACAAATAATTCTACAGTGAAAGACATTTTATGTATTACATGTGCATATTCTGACAATCAGAGATAACTTTAATTGTTGCATAAAACCAGAAGATTCCTAAAAGCCATAAGGTCTCTATTTTGGAAAATAAATAAATAAATAAATAAATAAATGTTCATGTCTAGGCATGAAGTCACATAATTTAAGATGAATCTATATATAGTTCTGCACACTGAAAGCAAAATGGCAACTTAAAGTTTGTCACCCACACTTCTCCAGTCAGTGGAGGAAGGCAACATGTTTCCAAGATGTTATCTAGCCACATTACTCACATTCTTGAGGACTGGATTAATCACCATCACAGAATGCATACCTCACTCTACTGACTGCAGGAGAAACCTGAAGAGATAGTTTAAATTAGATGGTTAAGTTTTAAATTACTATAGTTGCACAAAATTGCTTCCAGTCATAAAGATGAGTGCTGCAGTGTTTTGAGTAGGCATATCATAGTGCTTCTAGTAATCCATCCTACCCTCTCCAGTATTTTGAACAGTATAAATAACAAGATAAGAAGAAAGACAGTATAATGGTATGGTTTTTGTAGTAGTACTGCATGAATGGGCAACTTCCACTGAAAGGCGGCACATTTTACAGATGCCTTGAATCTTGGAACGATCTAAATACTACATAACACACACAGGAAATGAGTACTAACCCCAGCCAGTAAATATGAACCACCATACATACTGCTTGTCTGAAACAAAGGTTAACAAAAGCAATGTTTGCAGGTAAATCCCTTCTATAAGAAGCCAGAAGAAATTGGCTAAAACACTGAACTGGAAGAATGCCACAGCAGCCTTGCAAGCAACCTGGAAGTGCAGAAGAAGAAAAACTATTAGGTCTACTTTCCATTGTGTCTGGTTTCTCTACAAGTGCAGACAAAATTCACTTTTACCACACAAGAATTAATAACTACAATATTTCAGTAAGTTCGAAATTCCATAATTTCATTTGATTTTAGTTGTTTGAAAGGGAAATATTGACTGTCTCTGATAAACAAAATTCTTTACTAACAGAAATTTTTACAGCTTCATTAGAGAGGACAGACCTGCACCTTATATATCAAAGCTGAGTGTAGCCGTAGCACTTCATCTTTAGGGTTTTTAATATTGTTTGTTTTAAGATTTCAGTTCTAGCAAACTAAAGAGAAATGGGATTAAGAAATCTCCCTGTTCTCTTCAGGTAAAGAATTAAATGTTATATCAAGGATAAATAAGATTGTAAGTTAGTACCGTTGACATTAGGCAGTGGTCCATAGTTTCATCTGCAAACAAAACGGCATCTTTGGTGAAAACAGCAATTGCTCTCAGGATAAAGGAGACAAACAGGTGCATATGGATGTAATTCCGTGTACAGTGGAATTTTCTGACATGGAAAGAGAAAATAAAAATTGTTCTTCAAGAGAAATTTCTTATGGTCTCATCAAAACTCAGGAACACATGTGACTGCAGACATCTACCAAAGCAAATAAATGTCCTGCCACTATTTGAGATGGAGCTAGAAATAAGGGAGCAGATGAGTTAGTATTTGTTGGCTCTTAGGGACATGGCTTAGTGGTGACCTTCACAGTGTTAGGTTAATGGTTGGGCTCAATGGTCTAAAGGTCTTTTCCAACCTACCTGATTCTATGGTTCTATTTCTCTAGACTTCCCTCCCCACAGTTTTACCTGTTGGAATCTCCTTCAAGGTTTGAACATATCAACCTCTTGGTCCTGGAGCCCTTTATAAATGATATGAACTTTGAGACTCCCAATCTACTCCAGTTAGGAAGCCGATTCTGTGCTCTGCACTCCTGCCTGCAGAGCAAGCTCAAAGCTTTTATCCAAGCACATTGGAACCAATCAAAACCAGGATCCATTTCCTAACATCCAGCATCATCAAACATGACATTTAAATTTTTTAAGTTTCTTTCTATAGTTCCCAGTTATGGAAGTAATGGTCTTTAACAGAGGGAATGGACAGACTAGAATAACTTCTGGTTCAGGGGTAGAAGACAGTTTCTGCAGAGTATGTCCTGCTATGCACTGGAGGAATTGTGTTAATAGTGATAACAGATTTGAGCATTTTCACTGTATGCTGTCATTAAAAAGACTAGGACAAACTGCCCAGGCAGTTTTGACATCTGCAGGGAAATGCTACAACATGAATAGAGAAGGACTCATTGCCATCAACAGTGTTTATGCCTGAGAAGGACTAGAAAATGGCAATTAAAAAATCCCATAAAACAAAAAGTACTTTGAGAAGTACAATGAGGCTGTTTTAAGTCATCCTGGAAAAGAGACCATTGTTTTTTACCTGAAGGCAGCAAAGACAATTAGAGCTGTAATGAGTGAAGTCACTGATGCTGCATAGCCAGCAGTGTAGACACGCCAAAATGCAGAATAATATGATTTCTACGAGAAAAAGAGAACACAGACCAGTGCTGGTGGTTATGCAGCATGCATGTGGGTGTGCTTATTTCACTAAGATACATTTTCCCTTGCTAGTCAGTTTCATCACTTATGTACAGCTTTGTGTGTTGGAGATCTGCTTCAGGATTTTCCTTCCATTGCTAACACATCTTTTTTATCTCTTGAATACTACTAAACCTTATACATGAGACAGGTTTCACAGCCCACAGGTTCATCTGCAGTAGTGACTCCTTTGAGCACGTTCAATAGGAAAATACTAACTTTATTAAGTAAGTACATTTTCTTCTATAGGTATATGAAGACTCTAGGGCACTGCTAAAGTGACTGAATCCATCATTTTAGAACAGGGCCAGATTCAATAACTATTGGTTTTCACAAACAGCTATAGTTAAAAGAGAAGTAAAACTTGCATTTTGAAGGAGACAAAACTGTGTATTGTGTAGGTAAGAAAGTTTAAGCCAAGAAAATAGCTTCACAGTTTGTAATTCCTGGGACAAACAGTTCACTAAGTTGCTGTATACTGTAACACTGTAAATTCTTTATAGTTTATTTGTTAATTTGGTTTGCATTTAAGCATCCTATCTCCTAAGAAAAATGCCTATGTTGCTTTATCTGTGAAAATGTTATTCTGATTCACTACATTATCACCCAATTATTAAAAATCCCAATAAATTAATTCTCTGAATCCAGGGAAATTTTCTCCTTGAAAATTCAATGGACACTTTGTTCTTTAGTTGACCCAAACTCTTGTTTACCCAAAAGGCAACAATTCTGATTTTAGACAACCAATTAGCAATTTTAAGTAGTTCCATAAATAAATCATACAACCCTGACAAACTAGGAATTATCCTGTGTTTCTGAAATAGACCTAATCTTCCATAAAGTATTTTCAAAATTCAGGTGATAGTTAGATTCTTCAACTGAAGTATTTTGATGCATTTTATCTGATTTTGTGGGGCAGCTAGAAAAGCAACACTATATATAGAAGATACTATAAGTCCTCACTGCAAACACAAAATACTCTTAGAATATAAGTGGCATTCTTCGTACTTCTTTCCCTGTGTTTACAAGTAAAACTGGTTTTATCTTCCTTTTGTAGACCTTGCAGATTTGACTAGAGTAATGGAATGAACACAGTCACAGCACAGACATGAGTTCTCCTTGAAATCTTCTGTAATGTTAAAATACAAATATGGTTCCTTGCTTGATTTCAGCCTAGGCCTGCTATGAACTATGCCTGGCTTAACACAGTCCAGGGACTGCTTAGAGAAAGCCACCCTGGAGAGTAAGAGTTTAGCTCTGTGGGTGAAAGGCATGCAGTGGCAGCTGGCCCTGAGGGGCTTGAGAACTCTGTTCCAGAATACATGCCTCCTTATGAGTCTTACATCCCTTCTGAACTCTTCTTGTGGTTTTCAAAATATTTCCAGAATATTTTATGCACTTATCTTTCTAGCTTCCCCAAGGTGTAAAGAAGTACATATATACTTAGTTTATGGGTGGTGAATTGAGTTACAGATATCTATATTACCTGTTACAGTTGTGCTTGAGTTTCTAAGTTTATGGAGCCAAATGGCTGAAGCTAATTGTATCTACAGCTCCTAAATATTTGAATACTTGAACTGTTACTTCTGTGCTTGAGCTTGCATGCCTGGAGAACCAAATGGTTTACTCCAGATAACAGCAAGAGTGTTAGTGATGACAATCCTCTTCACATTTTTGTGTCTTGCACTGCCTAGTGATAAATGAGGTTTTTCCCCTGTTGAATCATGACTACACACTCACAACAAGCAGTATGAGTCAGTCTTTTATTTTGTAGATTAGAGAGAGTCCACTGTTTCTATCAAAATACCACAGTAGGAGGAGGAGGCAGTGATGTATCAGAACTCAAAGGCACATCTTTGTCAATCAACAACCTTCAGCCGTAAGATAAAGCTCACCACTGAGGCACTACCATTGTCAAGGAAGAGTGAAGCATTCCTATCCTGGGACCAAATATGATGATGAGGACCACAGAAATTTTATATGAAGATATGGGTAAAAAGAAATACTGCTAGAGCCAAATTGAGTACCAGTTGTGATCATCAGATAGGAAAAGTAGGGCTTCACATCCTCTTTCTTATTATAGTGTGGAAATATTCAATGGCATCCAGGAGTTCCCGCCTAAAGGTATGCATTGACCATAGTGCTATAAAGTTATGGAATATTTTTCTCTGACTCAAAGAACATCTAGAAAAAAATCAACAGGAGTGATCCAAAAGAACTTTCCCTGAAAAATTCTCTCTAAACAGATTGGTAGGACTTCCATGAGAGGTGGGTGCATGATGAAGATTCAAATCATCTCTGTCAGAGAACCTCAGTCCTTGTTAAGAAGGACAAGTGAACTAAACATGAGTCTATTCTTTAACAGCAAGAGGAGACGACAGAGAAGAAAGTGCTACCTGTTACTCCCTTGCTTCATATTAAGCCTAATCTACTAGGCAGTCTGTAAATATACCTGAAAGGATTGATCTTAGCACTGAAGATAGGTAATTACTGGATTCTAACAGTGCCTAGATGTGTGGGAGCATCCAGGTTCTCAGCACTCTCAGAAGAGGGTGCTCTGGAGTTGTTCACAAGTAGGAAATAAAAAACTCACCTGGTCCTCAGGCCCTTTACTGGAACCTTCATCAAATCCACAGGCAATGGTGTATGGTGGGAACGGTTCTGACCAATATGCCTCCTGCGTACAATTTCTCTGAAGGAAACCTTTAATGGTAAAATATATCAGAGAATGAATTATGCGGGGGGGTGGGGGTGTGGTTTTTGATTTCTTAAGAGAAACAACATATTTTTATTCCTACTTTGATCCTGAAGTTAGGCTAGTCATGTTCAGACAGATTTATAATATTCTATGTATCTATTTAAAAAGTTGAGAGAGATTCCCATTCATTTCAGGATGCAGTGGATTTTGTACATTTCATATAGGAAATTAATTCTGCAAATTCAATCCTTACACAGAGGAAATAAAATTATGCAGTCTATCCTGCATTTACAACGTAATCTGTACTTGTGGACAAAACCCTGAGCCACATCATCTAGCTTTGAAGTTACATACAATTCTTTAACTGTTCTGACTAGAGGATTGGACTAGATGACCTCGAAAGGTCATTTCTAATAGCAATTATTCTATGACTTTATAAATCCGTGATTCTATGATATATTTCTTTACAACCTTACCAATATGCTGCACTTACCCATAATTTTAATACCACCTTTAACTGTCTAGTTTAGACTAGAAAATTTAGTGCAGAATAACATAAATCAAGAACATGCCAAATATTGACCATAAGACAAGATTCACATCTGGATAATTATTGTATGTCAACTGATAAAAGATAACATTGTGAATCAGGAAAATAAGCAAGTTACTAAATATTCAACTATTAGAATTTATTTTAAAAATATGTGGAGATGAAAAGGAAAAACGTCTTGCCATGGATATTGGTGATTTCTTCAAAAAATCTTGGACAGGGAACTTTAACCACTTCCCCAAATGTGGCTGTGGGCCAGCAGGTTAGACCATCCCAATCTCTGGCACATCCTGGGGAAATAAAAAGTGCCTCTAAATAAGTACACACACAGAGAATATCACATGCTTGATCTTCCATAGTTAGAGTATCTGAGACTTTCTCACTAATTCACATGCAAAAAGAGCCAAAACAGGACATGAAGCTCTGCAAATGAATGATTGTATTGTTTTCCTTTCCCCTTGAATGCATCGTTGTTCACACACGTGCTTAGCATTCCAGCTGGACCTTCCCTCACCTTATCTCATGAGAGAATGCACTCAAAACTCAAGCAGACACAATCCTAAAGTCAAATCAACTGGAGGTTTCTCTATTGTCAAAAGAAAAGTCACCAAATCAAAATAATGAATAATTCCTAGCACTTGATATTTCTTATTACTGGTTTCAGAGTCTAACTGAAAAACATCAGGCTTAAAACTTCAGCCTTAGTCTCTTGATTCCATGCTTAAATTCTACCAGTTTCTCCTGAATTAAAGGAGCTGAAGTCCTGGTCATAGCAATCAATGCATATTTATAATGCATTTCAACAGGGATTAGATTCATCCCAAGCTAGAATAACATCTCCCAGCATCATATAAAATAACCATCACATAGGTCTGGCTGGGGGGCCTTCACAGGGTTCCCTATATGAGAGATTGCTAACTGATAACAGAGGGCATGCTTACTAGCTACGAGTCTGATAAAATGTGGTTTTGGAAATTAAGGTTAATCACAGCTTTGTCATGGATGCATCACATTGAGACTCAAGCTGTCATCTTGCAGTGTTTTTTGGCAAGTAGGTATGGGTGCAGAACAGAAGAACTATCAGCATGTAAAGGTGCCTGAACCTATTAAAAAAAAATCACTGTAACCAAAACTAATCTCTAGGTAGTTGTAAGGTGGATGTAAAGCAGTGCATGAGTTTCGTTTGGAAGGTGTAATTTTCTTTTACCAATTCTTTTGTTTCCTCTGTGACTGATGACAAAGCAAATCTAAAATTGTCAAGAACTGAAATGTGGAAACAATATTACTTGCCCGTAGCTGAGCAAAGTTACTTTCTGGCTTCTGAAAAGATAGTCCTGAAAATCTCCCACATCTTTATCCTCATGTTGCCTTTGGGAGGATGAAATTCCTGGTATACCCAATTTGCCAGATGAGAAAAAAGAAACCCTGATTCATTATCTCTAATTTTAATTGTCTAAAATATGTTAGCTAATCTTAGCTATGTTCCCTCTATAATCAGTTGAAAGAGACAGGGACTTCCAGTGCATGATTCATCCCATATATTGGAAGCTCCTTTCTGACGGCAGGATGAATCACTCACTGGAAATACCTAGGTCTTTCTGATGATCATAGCCTTAACTAGACTGCTAATTTTCGAATTAATAAAGTCAGGCAATATGAATCCCAGTTAGACATGCAGTGGCCCATGCACTTAGACTTACAGAATTAAAGGGTCACTCTTAGAGAGACTGTTCTACATTTGATGAGTTGAGTCTAAAAATCTATTGTAAACGGTAATATGTGCTTAAACGAAGAATCAGGTGACCTTATGTAGGAGTGGAATGTGCATATTTTAAGTCCTAGATCTGGCTTCATTTTCAGAGATTTCTTTTACACACCAAGGTTTTCAAGAGATTAGTGATTGTCCAAATCACCTGAGACTCCATAAAGACAACTGCAGTAAAAATTTTATTAAGTAATATTGACATCATAGCTATTTCAGTTATTTTCAGTAACCCAGGGCTCTTTTTTTTTTTTTGGGGGGGGGCTTTTTTTTTTTTTTTTTTGGTTGGTCGGTCAGTTGGTTTTAGACAATGGAGAAAAATAAATATTTTTAGAGCTTGATTCAGTGGGTCCATTTTACAGATCTACTTTGAGTTGAGAAGAATTGCACCCTGGGGTCTACTGATAAAATTCGGTAGACATTGCTCTGTGTAACAAGAATAATATGGAACTACTTTAGATTAAAAGTTCTGCAACATAAACTAATTCCAGCACAGATTCTCTACTGAGAAGTAACTGCACAACTGTGACTCTTTGGTTTGTCTCAATCAGCTCCTGAAAACTGAAATGCAAGCTAGAGACTTTTATCAATCTTAACCTAACTTTAAAATACCCCAGATAAAATATTTTTGTAAAAAGCATTTTCACCACACTGGAATGATTCCCATAACAATATAATTTCAGCATGCTTTTCACTGTCTTCTGTGGAAGCTTCTTTGGAGTTTTAGATATAAATAAAAACCACACCAAAAAAATTTAGGATTGTAAGATATTTCAGGTAGGGTTTACGTGCCCTAATTAAGCATTAAAACTTGTCAAGGTCTGAAACAATAATCTTTGTCTCATTCCATAGCTAGTAAGTAAAATTTGCTCCAGAGAAAAATTAATCCCATTCTAAAATAAACATCTAAACCAAAGGCAATCAAACGTGTTCTGACTTAGATATTGAGCTTTTAAAGATGTCTAAAATGAAATGAGGTAAAGTCCTATCCTATAGAAGCACCTAATACTGTTAAAGAAACCAAATAAAAAAGGAGCCAGATCTTGACTCAGGAGAACATCTAGACATCGTGCCCCTGAAACAATATAGAAGGTATATTCATATCAGAGCTTAGCAATCAGGACTGTTACCTTTAAGGTCAGGTGAAAGAGAGTCATTCTTTTCTAAGCAGAGAGCCTCCTCTTTGACCACTTGCTGGAATATCTTGCATTCTGGATGGATTCCCACAACCTCAATGAGAAAAAGACAAAAATCCCCATGAAGTTCTGTGATTACTGGAATGAGAAGGAATGGATCATTGGAATGAGGTTTCTTTCCAGTTTTTATACCTTGAGGCTGATACTTTGAGGTTTAAAAGTGTGAAAACTACAGGTGACGATGTATCTGCAAATAGGACACATAAACAGTAGAAGGAGGCTGCAATCTCATACATTTAACAATTTGTATACACATCTGCATAGGCATAGGTGTATGGATTCCTCAGTGTATTGTAATAGTCAAGCTCAGTAACACCTCTTTTCCAGTTTGGATATTTCTACCACCTCCTTTTTGTACCAATATTTTTCACAAAACTTAAATGGATTTGATCCATGATGAAGGGAGTGGAGCATCTCCCTTATGAGGAAAGACTGAGGGAGCTGGGTCTCTATAGTTTGGAGGAGACTAAGGGGTGACCTTATTAGTGTATATAAATATATAAAGGGGGAGCGTCATGAGGATGGAGCCAGGCTCTTCTCAGTGGCAAACAATGATAGGGCAAAGGGCAATGGGTACAAACTGGAACACAAGAGGTTCCACTTAAACTTGAGAAGAAACTTCTTCTCATTGAGGGTGACAGAACACTGGAACAGGCTGCCCAGAGAGGTTGTGGAGTCTCCTTCTCTGGAGACATTCAAAACCCACCTGGACACATTCCTGTGTAAACTTATCTAGGTGTTCCTGCTCCAGCAGGACTAGATGATCTTTTGAGGTCCTTTCTAATTTCTAGCATACTGTGATACTGTGATTTGGTGAATGGGAATAGTCACACTGAGTCCTCCAAACGTACATGCAGTCTCACCATATAGATATTTAGTCCCCACAAACCAAATTAAAATAAATATATTTCTTTAAAGATACATGTTTGCTTGTTTGTTTGGGGATTTTTAGCTAATTATTTTGAGTGTTCAGAACTACCTATTGGCAAAATATTCCTATTTTGATTCTTAGGAGTTCCCAGGAAATACATTTTCTTCATCGAAGGAATTAGTCATTATAATAAAGTCTTAATTACATTTCAGAAAGGTGTATCTACTCTGCTTTGATGCTGATACTAACAGAATGAGATACTGGTCTTCTTTGAAAACTTGAGATTTTAGGAGCATACAAATGACACTACTGAGAGAGCAGGGTGTAAGCTCTTCCCTTCTGAATGCAGTTGGCATAATTATAAAAATAGAAGCAATAAATAGGGAAGAAGTTTTATGTCTGCTGGCACTTAAATAAGAAATCTAGAAGTTCAAGAGTAGATAAAATAGAAAAATGGTAATCTTGGTCATAGTTTAATATGAGTGATTGCAAAATCTTATCAACCTATTATGTGAGGATGCTACACATTCCTTAGACAGAGGTAATGTTTCCATTTTATCAGGTGAAGAAAAATTAATGACTTGTCTGGGGAGTTTAAGCAATTATATTTATCTTACAGATTAAGATACCTACGTTTAAACACATAAATGGATTTCTAGGCATCAGTTGCTAGATTTGGGCTAGATTAATCTTCCTAACTACAGATGCTTCTGTCTGTACTACTACAATGACTAGTGTCATTTAGGTGCTGTCAAGTTTTTTGCTTGGCCTTCATCTCCCACTCCAAAAAATTTCATGTCCCATTTAGTCCTTCATCACATCTTTGATTGTGAAGATGTTCTTAATGCATCCCAAAATTATTGTCTCTGGAAAGTCAATTCAATTCTAAGAAGGAATCTACAATGTCAGTATCTACATGTGATCTTGTTATCTGAGCTTCTTTTGCAGTACATGGAAAAGAAATGTTTAGTGCTGTTTGGGATGCTGCAGTCCTCTTCTGTACACTCTGTATTAATTTTGCCAGCCCCATGTAGAAGTCTCAAATGCTTTATTTGATGTCTCAAATATTTCTACATACCCATCTTAAGTAACTGAATTAGACACAAAGTCAAAAGAGTAAATAGAGTCTGGAAAGCAACTGGACTGTAATCAGACAACTGAATACTGCATCAAAGCCTAATTTGGGATATTGGGATCTTCAGCACATAGGAAGTCTTATATGGAATAGATCTCTTGCAAGCTGTGCTACTCAAGGCAGAGAGAGGGGCTCAGAGGGTAGTGATTTTAACAGAAATGATGGATTGAAGGCTTTCTGAGACATTTCTGAGGAAGACTGTAGGCCATTCTAAACCTCTAATGACTTTGAAAACACAGTACAGAAGAAAATATCCCTGCTATATTGCCTTTTCAGTCTCAGGAATTTGATTTATCAGCCTTCAGAATGTTTCCAGTGAGCAGTGCAACCAGGACTTCTTTCAGCTTCCACAGAAACTTTACTTGAAGTCACATAGACTTTTATATCTTAGCAATGATATCTGCTGAAGGAAAAAAAAAAAAAGAAGAACAAAACGCAACTATCTTTTTAAACCTTTAAAAATACTGCCTACATTTGAATTTCAAAGTAGCATAGACAGACTGCTTTTAATTATAAGGAACTAGACACGGTTTGTACCTCTTAATATTAGAACAGAAAGAGGATTAAGGACACTGTTTGAAAAGAAAATTGAGACATGGCCTTTTGCATGCATTGTATTCCTCCAGTAGGTAATTTCAAATACATTTTATAAATTAGATTAAGTCACTCTTAAAATAGTACTTCTTGCTTTTCAACTATAATAACACAATTCTAAAATGAAATTTTTCAGGTATTAATAGGATCCCTGATCATTGCTGTATCTTTTAACATATATTTCACTTTAAAGTCAGCCTACATAACGAATGAATTATTTGAGTAGTAGTAACAAAATGATTGTTGCGTACATATCTCACTATTTCATTTCATAAAGATGGATGCAGCTGGACAGGAAAGAAGTAATTTCTCTACTTTCTGGAATTTTTATTATAGGCTAGTGCACAGGCTAAATATTACTGACATTTTCGTGTTTGAAAATCAACGTCAAATGTAATTGCAAATGTAAAATACAGACTATCACATAGGAAGCTAAAATGAGGCTGATGTTAGCTGGCAATCATGTAGCCTTACTAGAAGAAATCCTACTGTTACAAAAAAAAAAAAAAAAAAAAAAGAAAAAGAAAGGGAAAATAAAAGACCTATACAAGAAATTGAGGGCAGTGATGATGCTTCAATTTGTTGGTTTTCCTTAGGCTTTAAGAAAGAGGAAGACATTAAACCATTTTACAGTTAAAGAAAAACCTTCTGGGCAGAACATGCGATTTGTTGGCTATGCCTTACTTGTTTTTTGTTATTAATCTCACAATACCTTGAGAGAAAAGTGCATGCTGTTGCTCTAATCTGCCTACGATTGTTAAGTGATGGGGTTTTCTAGAAAACAGGGTCCCTGTGTTTGTTGCAAAGACATAGTACTGCAATTTAGGAGGCATCTGCTGTGATAACTGATCTCTTGTAGGAAAAGAGAAGCTCCTGTTGAGCTTCTGTGCAATTATCCTCCTAGAAAAGGATAATTTAAGAAAAAAACAACCAAACCAGAGATTTCTGAAGCAGGGATGTCCAATCTGGCAGTTTTCCATACTACAGTAATAAGTGTAAGAGGCTGATTTGGAATTCTTCTCAGATCAACATTTCCTAGTATATAAGCAGCAACCTGGCATGAACATTACTGAAAATAGCAGTGGGGTGCCTTCATCCAAAGGCTTATACAGAAAACTGAGGTTCCATGCAGTGTTGCAGACAGTACTCAACAAATGGAACTTTACATTGCTCTGCATCATAACACAAAGATCTTTCTGCTACTCTGAACATTAATGACCAGCCAAAATTCACAGAGGTGTTTTAACTCTAAATCCTAACCATGGAAACAATCTTGCCCAGAAAAAGGTAATCACATCGTGAACATTAAAAAGTTACCTGCGATAGGCACTGGTATGCTAAAAATATGAAACCATTTAGAAAGTCAGATTTTGGGCTTGCACTTACATTTAGACTTTGTTTTCTTAACATCTGTGATGCTATTGCATTGAAATCTTAAGTGGTATATTGACAGATAGTATAACACTGTTTTGCGTTTACTTTATACATGATAGCTTACTTATTTGCTCAAATCTGAACAGAAAACCCAAGGTAATTGCACTCAGGGCTTTCATTTGTTCATGTTGGACAACAACAGACCTAGAAAGGACTGGGAAGAGACTTATTCTAGAACCATCCTCAGGCCATACTTAGTGCAAATTAATTAAAAGCAATCTTTCCTGAGATCCCACACAAAGATGGTGCCCATAGGCTACTGCAGTGTAGAAAAGCTGTAATTTAGATGTCATACAAAATACAGATTTACAGTCATTAAGAAACACACTTGAGGAAAAGTAGGAACCTTTTCTGTGCTTTCAGAAAACAAGGGAAGTGTTTCAAAACTGGGCACTGAATATATTACTCATTCTTGAAAAAGCAATTCAATGGAATCAAAGAGCCAGAAGTAAATTGGTAACAGTCTTTTTGAAAATTAATAAAAAATCAAAGAAGTGCCTGAAATAATTGTCATGATGGCAAGGTTTCAAGAGCTTGAAGGGTCTTTCCAGTTTCATTTCCAGTGTCATGAAATCCTAAAACCTCATAAATAGGTTTTGTGTCAAGCGTATAAATAATTTACTAAGATTATTCATCACTGTTCTTTTTGCTTCTGTCTCTAAAGCTTTCATTCATGTGTCAGATCTCATCTCAGATGTGCTCTGAAATCATCTCTGTATTCCCTGTTCTCCCTGTCTGTGCTTCCCCTGTTCATTTTTTTCTGGTATGGCTCTGATGCCTAAATATTTCCTTTATACAAAACCACAGCTATCTGCCATTCACATCACACACTGACTCCCAACTTGGAGGATTAAAACACACCTTGTGTTTTAGGATACAGAAAGGCATGGTAAGAAACCCCTTCATTCCCTGACCATTTTTAATTGTGAAAGGAAGTATTCACTCAGTCCTGAAAGCTGACCAGTGTTGAGAACCAGGGTATACTCTGAAATGCATACAATTTTTTCAACTGGAACTTTGGTGAACAGAAAAGTCTTATAGGGTGCAAGGAGGCTCATGAAAAATGAAGAAGACAAAGAAAACCTCAGTCTTTTTGAAAAATTTCTTGGTCTGTTGAAAATATTGTATCAAAATTTCATTCAGAATTACTCAAAATGACAAATGCTAATTAAAAAGCCTGGAGACTGGGAAATACAGGTCACTGAAGTTAGGGCAAATTTTCACATGTGTTTCAAAGGGAGCTGGGACTAACCTCAAGTTCCGTTAGCTCTTGTCCATTTCAGCAGAGCTATGATCACAATTGTTTCTGTAAGGATCTTCTTACCTACTGTGCCCTATACGTAATTCTGGGATATTTGTACCTTAATATGCATAGCATTATGTTCTGTCAGAAAAATAAAAGAAACTATAAAAAATAACCAAAGATTTCTTATGCAGCAAAAAAGCCCACCGCACAAATGGATTTGAAAAAATAGATGAACATCCAATTTGTTTCTACTATATCCAAGCCACATTTTCAACTCTTGATTCTGATTGCAAAGCACAAGGTCACCATAGCAGTGATGTGACTCCAGTCAGCAGCAACATATTTAGCTATTATAGAAAGTCCTGACCCCAACTTCAAGCTCTGACACAGTCTTGATCCCTGAAGCTTTCAACCCCAAAGGTAAAAACCTATTTCCAATCTTTCCCTTCAGCCAATTAAACAGATTATTTCAGGAGTCTTTTTGGCTTAAAATGACTACCTAGAGGACATTTTCAGTGTTTGTTTTCTTTTTCTAACTCGATTACCTGTGGAACAAGAGAAGCTGAGACATTGATTGCCTTACAGTCATTTAGAGGAATATCTTTTCAAGATTGTTTTTAAGACATTGGAGTAATGCTTGAATGCTCCTGTGTGTACTGGATTGAATTTATCTGACTGTATTTAACTGCATAGACAGAACAGTACTCGCTGTATATACATATCTATGTATATCACTATATGTATACACATATCTCTATATCACTGTATATGTTACTCATAGGTAATTCGTATGTGACAATGCAGCCATTCTAACTTATATTGTTTATAAATCCTACATAATTACTGTGATCTTGAAAAAAAAATTAGTTTATTAGCCGTATGCTAAATTTGGTGGAGCATTAAGCCATCAATAACAAAGAATAACAGAACTCTAATAACTGAGGAACTTTGTTTTCTGCTATTGCAAGTATTCCTTCATGTTAAAGAGAAAATTCTCCATTTCTGCATATATAGTATCTTTACTGAAAAGTGGGGTGCATGTCACCTAATCCCAAAGGACTGAAACCTAGATGTCAAAGACCATCAGCAAGTTCACTCAGCTTAAGCCCTAGCCATTGTTCTTGGAGGGTTTTTACCTCTTCCCAATAGTATTGAAGGAGGATAAATGAGTAGCTTTAGGCAAGATTCCTGATTCTAGATAGATAATTTTAGATGATTAATCTAAACTCCCCCATAAAGCTTTCCTTAATGATCAATGAAGGCAGTAAAACAGTTTCAGGGAAGTATTCCTCCTACCTCCTTCAGACACCTATTTGAGGACAGTGACTCAATGTACAGGAGCATGTCTCCCCCAGTTATTCTCTACAGGCTAATGAAACACCTAAACAGATTGATTCTTCTACACCTTCAGTTCCCTATGGAGGGTAACTTAAGGTCTGTAAGGACTAAATCCATAGAAGAAGCATGTATGTCCCTCCAACACAAATCATCCCATACTAGCAATATCAGAAATTTAGGCACCCAGTTCTGTTTTACTGAGAGTTAAATGTCTTGCTATGGATTTGGATCCATATGCCTATTACCACAATAAATGCTTTATTAAAGTAAATGTATATCTCAACAATAACCCATCTATGTTTCCATTCTCACTTCCAATCACTAGATCAAACTGCACCCTGTCCACAGAAATGTGAAAAGCTGTTACATGTTTGAAGCAGCAGCAGTTTAGCTCAGCAGGAAAGACTGAGTGCAGCCTTTTCTGTTCCACATCCTTGGTTTCTTGAGACTCTGAACTCTTTAAGACAGGAAAAAAAAAGTCATTTTTACATATTTCAGCACCCACTGTTCCCTGTTCCTTGTCACAATTAAATGGTAATTTTTAATGTCAAGGACTATATTCTGCAAGGCACAAGGTATTATCCAGCAACATACAGCTCCCCGTGGAGCTGATAGGAGGTAAAATATCCAGTTTCACAGAGCAAGTTTTCAGGATTACACTTCTGGTTTATTTTCATATCTGAATAATGATTTTTTTTGCAGAATCCACACTAGAATCTTTTTTTTTTTTTTTTTATCTGACATTATCCTTTGAAATATGAGAGAACTATTTACTCAATACACCCTATGGGTTTCTGGCCTTCTCTGACTGTCTCACTTAGGGTGCAAAGCCTCCCACAAGACCTAGATACATGAAAACCACTGATATTTATAGCACTGACTTTTATCAACATGTAGTTGGATTTCATACATGAGCAATAGTTTGAAGCCAAAAGCTACATAGAGCATGCCATTTGTAGAATTTCTTTTATTATGGTCACAGTCTGCTGCTGTGCATGGCATGATGCACGGCAGCCCACAGATGTGCATGATAAATCGCTCCAGGTTAACTCCACTGCTGACAGCTGCAAGAACAAGTTGTGATTCTATTACATGTTAAAAGCCTAATCCAGATGCTAAAGACGCTTTCCCTGTAGCAGTATAACACTTTAGGTTGACCAGCTTTCCCTAAAAGAAAGGTATCATACATAAGAATAAGTGTATGTGGCAAGGTTTATATAGCAAAGACCTATATCCTATCACTTGCACATAAAACTGTATAAATACAGAGGAAAGAATGAGTTCCAGAGGATAAGAGGTACAGATGTTAAAATGTACATCCTATCTTTCACCTTGTAAAATTGAAGGGTCAAGGTCAGTCTGTAACCATCTAGGCTCTCACTATTATCAGGGGAAGAGAAGAGAACGATTCTGTCTTTCTCAGGACAAGATGAAATGCCTCCCAGTAAGGTGACTATTCCTCCTTTGGCTACCACAGGATTCTGAATCCCAGCCCACACTAAGCATTTAACTGTTAAATGGTTAAAGTTAGAATTAATAAGTCCCTGGGAATCACACACATAGAAAGATTTCCAAACAAACACTTTTCTGAGGCTGAAGACTAGGGGGGGGGGGGAGGATATATAACTGTACTTGTAATTACACTAGCTTTTGCTATCTAGCCCAGGCAGTGTCAGGATTAGAACATGGGGCTTAGAGAGGGATATATGTGCTTGAATTGTGTTTCTGTGCTCATTCATCTTCCCTGATGTTTAATGTTACAATCTCACCTGCTGCCTCCAGTGCATAGCAGACATGATGGCTCATTCTGCTGCTTGGTGATATTATAAGCAGATGCCTCCAGCAGTAAATACATCAGTGGCCTCTCAAAGAGGTAAATGTCTCAAACACATAAGGAAGAACTATTCCTTTTTACTTATCTTCCTTCTTTAGCAAAGTTGCCTTTCTCAGGACAACTGCCACAGAAAGCTGTCCCCTTCTGTCCCTCTAAAGGCATGCTACAGCTGTTCTGATTTAGGGATGCTTTTCTGTCCTTTGGAAACTGCAATTCTAATGAATGGAAATGAAAAGACATTTATTAATAGCACCTCAGGGCCAGAAAAAAAAGATCAATACAAAGAGCCTGGTCAAGCCTCTAACTCAGGATTATTTTTTTCTTTCCTCTCCTCCTACATCCCCATCCCTCTGTTTATAATTCTCTCCTTGTTCTTCTTTCTTTCTACCTGCTCCATGTTACAAGAAAAGTTACCCTGCCTCTGCAGACATCCCTCCCCGGATCCTGCAGGGCAGCTGCAGTGCCATCCAGCTGTGGGCAATAGTTTCAAGAGCCAGCTGTGCGATCCACCGCCCCACCCCCTCCCCGAAATTCCGCCGGGCACTCACCAGCGGGAGCAGCAGCCAGCACAAACTTCGCATCCTCCGCAGCAGCCGCCAGGTCCTCCCCGCTCTCTCTGCTCGCTGTGAAGCTGTCAAAAGCCGAAGCTCGGCCCGCCTCCACCTGCCCAAGACCCGCCTCAGAGAGCCTTGCACCTCCCTTACCGGACACCCCGATCCCTCCCGGGTGACCCCGGCAGTTTCGCGCCCCACGGTACCAAGCTTGCAGCGGAGGGAAGGAGATTCCCAAGCATCCCCCCTTGGGATTTTGGACCCATCACTACGAGCAGCTCCTCTGGTCGCCCACCTGCTGGGAGCTGTAGCAGTTGAAGGTCTTTGAGGGTGTGTTTGGAAGCACACTCTACAAGGAGATATGCTGGGTTCACTGCCCTGCTAATGCAACCATGCTTGTAGCTGGTGGCAGCAGGTTTCAAAGGATCTGGGCTTTAAGTGGGTCTGACAGCGTGGTATTCCCTGGGGACTCTAACAGATGGAGTTTCTGTGTTTTGGCATCCCCCTCCTCTCAGATGGAAAATTTCACGCAGTGACAAAGAATTTCCTACACAACTTGAATAAGGTCTTTCTGGCCCCCATGTTAAAAAGGTGACTCAAATGTAGCTTTATTTCTTGGTGAAATAGTTACAAATTAAAGCTCTTGTTTATGGCTTAGATTATTTTGAGGGGGATGAGAGGAAGGAAAAAAAAATTTCATAATTTTTTTAAATGTCAGGGTCCGTAGGACCAGGTTGGACGAGGCCTTGGGTGATATGGTTTAGTGTGAGGTGTCCCTGCCCATGGCAGGGGGGTTGGAACTTGATGATCTTAAGGTCTTTTCCAACCCTAACTATTCTATGATTTTATGATTCTATGACCTAGGCACCAGTTCTGGGCTTTACCACAGTAAATATTGCACCAATATTTATGACACCAGCTATTTCTGAGCCCGCGATAATAGAAGTTGTGGACATAAAAATAAAGGCATTTTTTCTTGATAAGATTTAAGTGCTATTTCATACCCTGTTTATCATTCATTATTTCTCAATGGTGTTAAACACAGAAGTTCTGTATAGTGAGAAGAAATTCAGAATTCACCTATGTTACCCCAAAACAAGCATCTGATACCATTAGAGGAAATACAGATTTCTGCAGCTTTCTCCATAAATGTATAACTATCATGTAAGTCATGTATCTTTTCTGTTAGCTCCACCTAGATATTTCAGATATACAGGGGCACCTTGAGTGGAATTTCTTACCTATTTTTAAGAAACTAAGTCATGTCAGTGTTATCTATTAATTCATCTCTTTGCACCCTGACAGTCCTGACTACTTCACTTTTTTGTAACAGGAATCTAGACAGCCTGTAAATGTTTGGACAGCTGTGTTAAAATGCTGAAATGTGAGTGTTTTGTATCAGGATGCACCCTACCTTAGTCTTGCAAATCAAAGAAATATGTGTTTAAAATCAAATATTATCCCCCAGGCTCATGCTAGATAGGCAGTCAGTTCTACAACTTGTGCAGAATAAAGAAGGGGACAAAGGGATAGATCAGTGGGATAATATTTGCAACCCAATATCCATTGGGTTGTATTCATTGTAACCCTTTTTTTCTATATGTTTATCTTTCATTAGTGCATAATGTCATCTCATCACTTATCTGTACAGATAAGCCTCAAATGCTACTCCAAAAATCAAGTTTGTTATAAAATAGATTAAAACATTTAAAAAAAAATATTAAAGGCTGATTTTGACTGTTTCCCCATCTGTTATGGATGAGTTAAAGCTGTGGCCAACTTTCACTAGTCAACAAGGTGGTTCTTGTCACGCTGGAATAATTTTTAGGGTACAACTACAAGGCGAGCACCACAGGGTATCAGGCAGTTCCTAATTCTTATGCAAATTAAAATGCAAAGTAGAGGCCTATCAAATACCCCCAAGAAAGGAACAGATTATAATTCCTTCTGAACAGTATTCAACCAAATTTAGTGTAAAAGATCACAGAATAACAGATAAATTTAGGTCAGAAGACACCTATGAACATCTGGCCCCAACTGTCTCCTCACCTCAAAATAGGTCAGATTGCAAAGTCAGGCGATGTTGCTCAGGGATTTGTTTGCTGTGTTTCAAAAAGGTTGATCTCAAGAGTCACAATGTAAACACAAAGATGTAATTAATTTAGTATCTGCATAGCATTCCCATCTACAATGTTTCAGCTGGATTCCATTATTTAAGGCCTCTCAGGTCACTTTCATGAAGTCTTTTTGGTTGTCATAACCAGTCTCCAAGTTTGGAGCAAACCTAAGTGAGAATCATTACTTTTGGTATTATTTTTTTGTATAGTTTCTTGACATGGGTTTTTGTAAGTAGTCCTTAGGAAATGACATTGCTTCTTTGGGCAGATACTGTCTGTCAGTGCTTCCTTCCTTACATATTTTGTCTTCTCTTTCTGCTTTTCCAGTCTTGATCTCCAGCTCATCTGAAAAACAGCCCACATTCCAATCCTTGAGCTTTAAATTAATTATTTTTGTAACAATTCACTCGAGTTAATGTTATAAACCTTGCCTACATTAAAGTATCAGAGTTCCTTAGTCTACTTATATTCTTTCATTAGTTTAAACAGTTCCTTTTGTAAACTATAACCTAATTTAGTCTAAAACCTAATTTCTTTTTATCATATTCATTTACTTTATTCATTCTGCTCTTTCTCTGTATGTACCCAAAGAAGATCCAATAATGAAGTAATTCAGGAAAGTAACCATACTTCTCATAATCTCATGTATGCTCTGATGCATTTTACTACTTTTTGTCACCAAAAGAGCTCCTTACCTGATAAACTGGCTATACCAAAGCTTTTTTTTTCTTCTTTCTTCAGCAATTATAGTATTCCTAATCTAAAATAAGGATCATATGCATTTTCCTGCTGCTCTACAACACCAATGTAGGCTCAGAATATAACTCTGATGTGCATAAAAATGTCCTCTTGTTAACATCAACAAGAAATCAAGACATTGCTACAGTATGAAACTTAATCAATGAAGCAATAGACCTGAGATCCTTCCTATCCCATCATGGATATTCTGAATCAACGTATACCATTTGATGAAAATTACTTGACATTTACTGAGCTTCTTAGAACCTTCGCAGAAGCTAGAAAAAGTTTTTTTGATATCATATGGTACCTGAATAAGGCTTTTCCATAACAGAAGTCTTTTGAAATGCAGCTGTGCTCCCTCTGTGTGCATATACAAGCACCTCTTTAGACAACAAAAGTGTAATGCACTGGCACCACATTGCAATGTGAACCATCAGCCAGAGGATAAAGATGAATCTATTGACATTTCTAAACAATCTTTTGATAAATCTGAAGATGCAAAACAAAAAGCCCTGGAAATCTGGGAAGAAGGCTGCAATTACTGAAAGCACATAATCCAGTAGTTAGATAGAATATGACATTACTGAAAAACATATTGCATCTATAACTGAAAGCAAAACTCCACTGTATTTAAAAAGTTGTATATAGAAAAGATAGAAGCTTTATTCCTGAGGATGATCTCTGTGTGATACTTGAGAGAGTAGGATGAAGGCAGGAAGGTAAAACAGCTGAAGGAAGGCATTGGTTTTGAGACTAAAGAGGTAAGTCATTAAATATCAGAAAACAAGTACTTAGAGATTCATGAGGATAATTTTTCCAATTCATTTTCTTTGTGTACACTCACTGTGTTATCTACTTTCTATTTTGATTAGGTAAAGTTGACTCCTGCTATGATGGGGCTCTGCTCCCCTATGTACACATAGTCTGTTGCTGCTACTTGGCTGACTCTAGGAATGCCATGGAAATATAGGCAGAGTTTGTCACACAGTCATGGACACTTGACTCATATGTATTCAGTCCCATGTGCTTTAACCTGTAAACTTAATTCCACCCAAGCATCTAAGATGCTTTCTAAATTAAAAAATATATTTTATCTGTACCTACCTACCACAAACATACTAATTAGAGTCTTTTAATAAACTCCTTTAATTATTTTAGTATTTCTACTTAAAAAAAAGAAAACCACACAAAACTGTTAGTGATCCCTTCTCTATTTCTTTTGTATCTCATCTCTTGAATAAGAAAGTCATTTTTCGAACCTAAGGAGTTACTTCCCAGTGATACACAATGCAATCTTCATTCCTGTTAATAGTCCTTAAAGAGTTGACAAACCAGCTGTTCCTGCTCTCAGAAATAGTTTTGTGCATTATATTATTCATTTTTTTTCTTGCTTTCCTCTGGCCATTTCAACTTAATTACATTTCTCTTTGTTTTTCAAGATGAGTAGATCAACACTGGTTTTTATTCACTAAAATATGGTTTTAAGACCATAAAATTGCTCCCCTTATGCGGCCAATTAAAGTTCTATGTTTCTTCTAAGTATAGGTTGGGCCTACAAAACCGAAGATATGTAAACATGAGTAACCTATTTTTAAGAGCATAGAAGTTCAATTACTAGTGTATACTGGTGTCTGCTTTTTTTATGTTTAACAGAAATCAGGGCATCTTTTGTCCAGACATTCTCTTTCATTATGCCAATTTCTCCACTGATTGTAGAAGGGGCTAAGACAGACAGTTCACCCTTATAGTAGTACTTGTCTTATCAAATTTCAGGTATTAAGAATGCAAATGTGAACTGATTATTCCATCTTATTTTCATAGTCACAGAAACCATTAAATTCAATTTGACAAAATTTCTCTGAATAATGAGGACTGTCTTCCCACCACTATTTTTTCTAGACAACAACAAAATTCTTGGTGTGTTCCAGTTCTTCCTGTTATTTGACATAATCTTATTAGTGTGTCTTTCTAGTTTCTCAGCTTTGTGGAAACACCATATTGCACTCAGTTCAACACAAAGCTCAGACTAATGGGGAGGACTTTCTGAGAGTCCAAAGCTTACATGAACCCTAGCAGAACAAAATGGTCAAGGGCCCATTCTGTGTTTGCAAGAACAAGTGGTAAAGATGGTTTCTGTCCATATAGCTAGCTTCTATTTCCCCCAGAAAGAGCTCAGCCCCATCCTTAACCATCCATTGAAACAGACTCTGACTGTGCTAGCACTGGAGTTGTGCTCAGGTATCAGCTAGAAGAGTGCTAGGCCAAACACAGTGAGCATTACAGCAAATGTACGTGCTTCTAGTATTCAGCCAAGTAACTCAGACAAATACAACCATGTGTTTTCAGAAGCTGATAAGGTACAAATATATTCACAGAAGTTTTTAATGTCTAGAAGAAACATCACTTGTGGGAGGAGCAATGTGAAGAAGGTGATACATGGGTACGAAGCAACCACCTTATATATGAATTTCATGAGTTGGCCAATTTCTTAATAGTCATAGGATAGCATAAAGAAAAGCCATATAAGATGATGATTAGCTAAACATTGATTATATTTTGATTAACTAAGAATTACACACAAAGATTGCAATATGTAAGCACTTTTTTTTAAATAGAACTCTTATTAGAAAAATAATGAAAAATATCTGAACAGCAATAAATACAAAGACACAACTATGCTATAAATTGAGGCACCATTCTTACGTGATGAATCTATCCCTGATCTTAGAAAGTATGAAGTTCTTCTCAACTTCTTCAATTTTTTGTGGTGTAGATATGTACAGCTAAGCTTCTCATGCCATACTGGTAGTGAAAGAAGAAAAGCAGATGTGCTCAAGTGTCTTGTTTTATGACTTTTTTCATATATTTTTATTTTAACGTTAGACCAATTTGATCCTCTGTGTCATTGTCTATAATGATTATGTGAATCCAACACATAAATGCGTTATGTGATCTACCCCCTGGAGTCTCATTATTCTGAATGCTGGCATTTTTTAAAAGAAGAACTAAGGAAAAAAGAAATCATAACAGAAGCCAAAAGCTTTGCTGTGAGGAAAACCTTGTGTGCTCAACGCCAAGCATTGCAAGGTATGAGTAGGGGGAAATTAGTTGACTGCATTTCTGGGAGTGCAAAATACTATAGCTAAAGATTTATGAGACACAACCCTCAAATGGGACAGAATCAAGTCTTATAGGGATGAAACTTTCATGTATATCTTCCAGCTAAAGTTGTAGTTATCAGAGCACTAGTATTCACCCTAAAAAGTAGCTGCTGTGGGAAAACAGGAGGGCATCAATCTCTAGTATTAAACAGAAAATTTTTCTGGTATCTATGTAAAACATACCAACAACAGCCTACTCCCTTCAATGTACATATTTGGCCTATGTACAGAGAACTATGGAATTTCTCCATTTACATTAATCTTGGAAGTAAGCCGTGTATTAGTTTCCTCTGAAGAGACTCAGTCCCCAGAAATGCCAGTTATGCTTCTGGCCTAAACTACTTTGTGGAAGAACTTCTCTCTCCTTTTCTATGGAGTACATAGGGAGACCTTCCCCTTCTATAACATGTCTGAAGTCTGACAAAATGGATGCTGCAAAGTGTGTTCCTTAAATACTACCCTAAAGAGCACGTGTAAGTAACTGCACAATCTAAGCTACCACACATCTCATGAACAGCAATCCCTTCAGACCCTTAGGAGCTGAAGTGTTTCCTGTTTAATAAATCTGACAGGCTAATAGTGAGAAAGGATCAAATGTAAAATCTATTTAGAAAAACACCATCAAATTTGGCTAAGAAATTGACCTTTATAGGGATACCTTTTTTTTTATTTTCTTCTCTTCTTTATTCCCAGTTCTCTCCATAAGTTTCTTTCTCTTCTCTTTTCCAGTATAAAAGATTACCACTGCCAGAAGAAACTGAATACATGAAAAAAACCCAAATCTTATGCCTGTCAAAGTGTTTTCAAATAACTGCTTTTAGATTTGATGAAAACCATATTTCAAATAACATGTTTAGCTAAAATCACAGCACAAACTAGTAATCAATGAACAGGTCCATTTATTAGTGGCAGAACATATCTTCATGAAAAATCCATGACAAAAATGATATTTAATCCTATTTGGGTTTTACAACTGGGCTTTTATTTCATGTTAAAACTAGTGTGGGGACGCCAGATGCTATACTCTCTGATACCTAAATGCAGGAGTCAAAATCAATCACCCTCAGGAATAGAACAATGAACCAAAGAAGCTTTTTTAACATGCAAAATTTGCGAACTTGCAACAGTTTAACAGATCTGCATCAGTTTAACTAATCTTCAGGAAAACTGTAAAGAATTACATTTGTCACTGTTGTGGCATTCACAAGGAAATTGAAAAGAAATCTTGATTCAACTCAAAGTGAGAGCACTGTTTAAACTTTTGGCAAATCAGTAAGTCAAAATACCATCTGGAGCCAAAATTAAGGCTGTAGTCGTTGTTTAAGTGAGATTTTGTTTTGAGCAAACTCAGCATTTCGGAAGAGTAAATGGTGTATTTTATTGCTATATCTGCTATATTGTTTTTATCATTAAACACTTTTTTTAGTAACTCAACCGTATGACATATTAAGGGTGAGTGTAATTTTAAGTGTTAACTTGAAAATCCCTATTTTAAGAAAACAGTAGTAATGGAATCAGAATTCTACATGAGCTAATTTTGCAAGTCACGTGACATTTGAATTCTAAAACATCAATCATTGCTTGATTTAATAATTCTAGATAATCATGGGGGTTTTTTTTTATCATGTGTACGTGTGGAAAATGCTTTTTTCTTGTTATAGTTTTTTGTAGAGCTTGCTCATTGTTACTCTTATTTTTTTAAAGGCAATTATAGATAGCAGTAATAACACTGTGTGAGAAAAGGTTTCAAAACCATTTTCTTTCCATTAAAAAATTAATGTAATTCAACCATAAGGTGGTTGGTTGGCATTTTTTGAGTGAGAGAGCTGTGCAGTAGTGAGTGTATAGCACAATCATATCTAGAGAATTAAGCTATTTCCTACAGAATTAATTGAATAATGTAAGAAAATTTTTATGGCATATACCCACAAAAATAGCTGAACGAAAAACAAGTCAGCATTAGGATCGATCTACACCCAGCAACTCATGAATAGAAACTAACTCAGCATTAAAATTGGCTTACACCCAGGAGAGCAGAAGTAACAAGCAGTGTATTTTCTCCCAGGGAAAATAATTGTGAAAACTGAAAATAGAAATAAAGTCTATCAAAAATCCTTACAATAATGTTAGTGAAAAAATTCTCTAATGTTGCTCTAGTTTGTAAGGAGAGTCAAGATTTACACACAGGCCAGATAAAATACCATAGGAGGAGGAGGATGAGCTGATAATTATTAGAAAAGACTGAAATCACACATCCTTAACAAATACCTACTTTAAATAGCAGTCAACTGTCATAGGGCCAAATGGGTCAATAGGCCACTGCGCTGTGTTTAAAGTGATCGACTTGTGTAACAAAGGATTAAGCCATTGAACAATCTGGCCCAGAACATTTTTCAGAAGTTGCTGGTCTGCAGACTTTTGGAAGTCAGACAGGTATTTTTGGAAAACACCCATTTTGGATATGTCCCTGCATAGTTGTTTTGTTCTTAAACCTTTACTGAGCTCTCTGCTACAGCCACTGTCAGGGAAAAGAATCGCCTGACCAAGAGGAATCTGTGGACGAAGCACTCTATAGGCAGATAGGAAAAGCCTCACGCTCACAGGCCCTCGTTCTCATGGGTGACTTCAACCACCCTGACATCTGTTGGAATGATGGTACGGCCCAGCACAAGCAATCCAGGAGGTTCCTCGATTGTTTGGAAGACAACTTCCTTCTGCAAGTAATAGAGGAACCAACAAGGAGAGGTGCCATGCTTGACCTTGTGCTCGCCAACAGGGAAGGGCTCATTGGAAATGTGGCACTGCAGGGCAGCCTTGGATGCAGTGACTACGAGATGGTTGAATTTGAGATCCTTAGGACAGTGAGAAGAGCGTGCAGCAAGCTCACTGCCCTAGACTTTAAAAGAGCAGACTTTGGCCTCTTCAGGAACCTGCTTAGTAAGGTTCCATGGGATATAGCCCTAGAGAGCAGGGGGGCTCAAGACTCTTGGTTGGTCTTCAAGGATCACCTGCTACAAGCTCAGGAGTGTTGCTTCCCAACCAGAAGGATGTGCAGCAGGAGGGCCAGGAGACCTTCTTGGATGGATAAGGAGCTCCTGAGGAAAATTCAGATGAAAACAGAGTTTTATAGAAAGTGGAAGCAAGGACAGTCAGCCTGGGAAGAGTACAAGGATGTTGTCTGGGAAGCTAGGGACCAGGTTAGGAAAGCTAAGGCCCAGTTAGAATTAAACTTGGCTAGGGATATTAAGGATAACAGGAAGGGATTCTACAGGTAAATAGCAAATAAAAAACAGATTAGGGAGAATGCAGGCCCCCTCAGGAAGCTCTCGGGTGAACTAGCTACATAGGATTTGGAGAAGGCTGAGGTTCTGAATGACTTCTTTGCCTCGGTCTTCTCTAGCAAAGGCTCTGACCGCACCACCCAAGTCTTGAAAGGCAGACTCAGGGACTGTGAGAATGGAGACCTTGGGCCCACTGTAGGAGAGGAATTAGTTCGAGACCATCTTAAGACTCTGAACGTGCACAAGTGCATGGGTCCTGATGAAATCCATCCGTGGGTCCTGAAGGAGCTGGCAAATGAAGTTGCTAAGGCGCTGGCCATCGTACTTGAAAAATCATGGCAGTCAGGTGAAGTTCCCAACGACTGGAAAAAGGGAAATATAACCCCCATTTTCAAGAAGGGGGAAATGGATGACCCGGGGAGTTACAGACCAGTCAGTCTCACCTCTGTGCCTGGCAAAATCTTGGAGCAGATTCTCCTGGAAGGCATGCTAAGGCACATGAAAAACAACAAGGTGCTTGGTGACAGCCAGCATGGCTTCACTAAGGGGAAATCCTGCCTGACCAATTTGGTGGCCTTCTATGATGGGGCTACAGAACTGATGGACAGGGGTAGAGCAGTTGATGTCATCTACCTGGATTTGTGGAAAGCGTTCGACACTGTCCCACATGACATCCTTGTCTCTAAATTGGAGAGACATCAATTTGATGAAGGGACCACTCGGTGGATAAAGAACTGGCTGGAGGGTCGCACACAAAGAGTTGTGGTCAATGACTCAATGTCCAGCTGGAGACCTGTAACGAGTGGTGTCCCTCAGGGATCGGTGTTGGGACCAGTCTTGTTTAACATCTTCATCGCTGACATGGACAGCGGGATTGAGTGAGCCCTCAGCAAGTTTGCCGATGACACCAAGCTGTGTGGTTCGGTTGATACGCTGGAGGGAAGGAATGCCATCCAGAGGGACCTTGACACACTTCTGAGTTGGGCTGGGGCCAACCTCATGAAGTTTAACCATGACAAGTGCAAGGTCCTACACCTGGGTCGGAGCAATCCCAGGCACAGCTACAGGCTGGGCAGAGAAGAGATTCAGAGCAGCCCTGTGGAGAAGGACTTGGGGGTGCTGGTCGATGAGAAAATGAACATGAGCCGGCAGTGTGCGCTTGCAGCCCAGAAAGCCAACCGTATCCTGGGCTGTATCAAAAGGAGTGTGACCACCAGGTCGAAGGAGGTGATCCTGCCCCTCTACTCTGCTCTCATGAGACCTCACTTGGAGTATTGTGTGCAGTTCTGGTGTCCTCAACGTAAAAAGGACATGGAACCTTTGGAACAAGTCCAGAGGAGGGCCACGAGAATGATCAGGGGACTGAAGCACCTCCCATATGAAGATCGGCTGAGAAAGTTGGGGCTGTTCAGCCTGGAGAACAGAAGGCTGCGGGGAGACCTCATAGCAGCCTTCCAGTATGTGAAGGGGGCCTATAGGGATGCTGGGGATGGACTCTTCATTAGGGACTGTAGTGATAGAACAAGGGGTAATGGTTTAAACTTCAACAGGGGGAGTTTAGATTGGATATAAGGAGGAAATTCTTTCCTGTTAGGGTGGTGAGGCACTGGAATGGGTTGCCCAGGGAGGTTGTGAATGCTCCATCCCTGGCAGTGTTCAAGGCCAGGTTGGACGAGGCCTTGGGTGATATGGTTTAGAGCGAGGTGTCCCTGCCCATGGCAGGGGGTTTGGAACTTGATGATCTTAAGGTCCTTCCCAACCCTAGCTATTCTATGATTCTATGATTCTATGATTCTGATACCTGTGTGCTGCTGGGTACCACAGTTTTTCATTCTCTTAAGCTTTAAACTGAAACAAAAACCCACAACAACCAAAAACCCAATGAATTTTCTCATTATAAATATCTCAGAACTGGGAGATTTATTCCACTGATTATATAAAAGCTCTCTGATCAATAATGTTTTACTATAATGTTTACCATTAAGACACCCTGATTCTTTTTGTCTGAGATATTATGAATATAATAAAACAACATTCCTGTTTACACTTGCTACTAAATTTGAAACTCTTGATGCAAATATTAGCCACCAAATCAAATTAAGTAGAAGCAGAAGGTAGGCGAAGGTTGCACAAAGCAACTCAGGCTTTTCTGCATTGTTAGTTTATTCTTAGAATTGCTTTTGAGGCAGGCACATGAATCCTGAAAAGAAACGTGATTACATTCGTGAGTATAGGTCTGGCCAGTGTACACATCCTGGCACCTTTTCTTTGGAACATCACCACCTTAATTCAGGTTGAAATGATCAGGTAATTAGTAGGCTATTTCTGCATCTTTCAATTACAAGGAATATAACTATCAGTTGCAAACAGAATTTTCTTCTAAGAATGACAAAAACAGCTTCTGTGGCCTCTGTTAATTAATAGATGGCAGTGAGCACTTTATCTGGGACTTAGATGCTTCCTCCTAATGCAGGGTTTGTTGTTAGTATTGTTTTTCCTCCTGACAGGGGAGGGCTTATTATAGTGGAAAAGCTACTGAGGTAGAACCACCATAATTAAAAAGACATTTTGTGAAACATGATGTGGCAACAAGAAGACTGTCCTCTTTTGTGTTGGTAAAATGTGAAACTACTTGCCCTCCTGAAGAGTCTCGGGGGCTGGTATGTGCTCAAATGCTGTTTGTGATGCTGTGATAGCTGAAATGGGGAACTAAACAAAAACAGGTTTACAGCAGAGAATTCAAGGATCTACTGGGGAAAAGAAAGCAAACGTAGCTGGTGACCTTTAAGGATGCTGACAATGCAGGCAATCCATGCAGATTCCATTGATACTACTCGAGGTACTTTCTTCCCTGTATATTGCCCTCTGCCGTGAGATCTGACAGGCAAGTGGGATGGCATCAGCTCTCATCAACAGCTTCACTCTGCTTTGCACTCATCTGCCTGTGTAGAGACAAAGGTCTTGCATCTGACAGGGAGCTAACACCTGAATTTCATACTAGAAGTGAAGAAATGCTGCTGATTAAGACAGAAAAGAAAAAGAGTGTACAAATCAAGGCACTACCAAACTGAGATTTTTTTTTTTTTTAATGAAAGAGAAGGAATAATTGATTTTTTGGCTTGTTAATTATAAATGGAAAAGATGTTCAGGGTGACCTGGTTGTTTATTCCTCTTCAAGAGGAAATTGAGATAAGTCAAACACTTGGAATGGTGTTTCTGAGCTCGGAAATGTAGGTAGGAGAACAATTGACATGCAGTTATTAAATCACATGGACTAATTTTAAAACTCATAAAGGATCATCTGTATTATGGAACTCATTGCAGAAATTTAGGTACACCAAGGAACATATGTGTAATGCACATTTATAAACTTGGTAAATATTCGTACAAGACCAACTCTAAAGGTCTGCTGGTGCATAAATATTAAGGATAATCCTGTGACAATGAAAAAAGTACAGAAAAAATTAAGTCATAGATAGAAAAATCCTTGACAACGGCTTGTTGGATTTTTTTTGCTGTTTGGTGGGGTGTTTTGGTATTTTTTTCCACAAGACCAATTATCCTGATAACAAAAATTTATCATCAGATTTTATTGTAGTCTGGGCTTTTGACTAAGGGTACCTCATCCATAGGAAGTGTTCGCTTACACTTTGAATGTTATATTTGCAACCAGACCAACAAGGTGATATTTGAGGAGAGACTATGTTCTAGGTCTTGCTCATAACTATACTTCTAAGTATGAATTTCATTCTAATGCAGTACCCAAAGCTAGAAGAGAAGTCAGTGGAAATTGGTTATTTTTTTCACTGAATCCAACAGAATACCTCCAAAGGAAGGAAATGTATAAGCTAAGTAAAGTGCCCTTTCATCCTCACCCCACTTCCAAAGCAATCCTAATCCAAGAACAAAGCTTTGAAATTAGACTGTAAATTTTCCAACTAGATAACAACTTTCTTTTCCTCCCCAAAATACTGTAACATTTGTGTGTGTGTGGTTTTTGTGAGTTTTTTTCTTAGGAAAAATATTTAAATGTTTCACTGAAACCCTCCAAGTAAAACAAAATCACTACAAATTTGACAAAATAATGTTAGTTTATTTTGCTGGTTTTTTTGCTTTGTTTTGCTTGTTAGTTTGAGGATTTTGAGAGGTTTGGGGTTTTTTGTTTGTTTGGGG